TATTTACACATACAATAGTAAAATATATTTCAATTTAATGACATGATTGTAGTTAACAATGTTTTAGAAATTTTAAGATTATGTTGCGATAAATGATTGTGAGATTCAAAAAAATATATTAACATTATAATGTTATTTATATAATATATAACTTTATAACATATTTACAGTGATTTAGTTTATGTTATATTGTATTATACTTTATGAGTGATTTGCCACATGAGTTGGGGTGTTGTCCACTATATTGAATGTTTAACACAACTGATAATTATTAAGGAAATATTTAATATATTTTAACTTTTTATTATTAAATTTAATAATAAGTAGTCACTCAAAAAAAATTACTTATGAGTGATGATACATGAGATTACAATTTATAAGATAGTTAATTAAAATTAAGTCTAATGTGGCTTATAAAAAACAAATTTACATAAATTTTAATTCTATACATATAATAGTAAACACGATATCAAACAATTCAGGTTATGTTATATTTAAATATATGCCTTAAATTGTATATAAATAAACTTATATAAATACATTATATACAGTATATATGAGTGAAAACCAGAAAAATAATGCTTAAAATAAGATATTAAAGATATATTTATTGTTCATTACTCTAAAAAAGAGGAATTGGAGTGAAAATTATTGTTTAGACCACTAAACCATTGTTTATGAAAATAATTTTATTATAAAAATAGAAACCATAATATCTATTGAAGTAAACTTAATATATATTTTGAAATATTTTACAATCATAGCGACAATTTACTTTTCAATATAAATTAACTATAAACTAAATTTATAATAACAGTAATAAAATTATAAATTTTTGTTAAAAATAAGTTTAATATATTTTGTGATCCTTTTATTTATTTCATTTTTATTTATCTTTATGTTTATTTTGAACAATAAATATTTCGATTTACTTTTGTAATAAAATTACAGTATATTGAAAAATATTTTTACTTTGCTTTATAAAAGTTATTAAGTTTTAGTATTTTTTGTGTTTTCTATTGTTATCATCAATTTATAGCCACATTGTATTGCCTTTGAGTTTTGTAGAGTATATATTAATACTTTTGAAACCATTTTTTGAATAATTTATTTTAATGAACACAATATTTCACTATTAAATAAAAATTCAAATAAAGTGTATTTTTATTTGAATGCAGTGATACACCCATGAATTATATAATTTAATATTTATGTATGAATTTATATGTATCTATTTTAAGTAAATATTATTTTATAATTTTAATAATACGAGATTCATGTAAAGCTTTTAATATAAATTTTTGTTTAAAATAGAAAAATTCAACTAATGTTGGGTTTAAAATCAAATATTATTTATAAAAATATATTTGTTATAATATATTTATAACCATTATTGATGTGAAACTATTTTATTTCAATTGAATTGTATAAGACTAAAAATAGATTTTATATCTAGTGTTTAGAGAGAGAGAGAGAGAGAGAGAGAGAGAGAGAGAGAGAGAGAGAGAGAGAGAGAGAGAGAGAGGATCAACTGATATATCACTTACTAATCAATAAATTCAATATCCGTTGTCTTAAGTATAAAGTTAAGGATTGTTTGATATAAAACAATACTTTAGTCTTAATATTAAGCTTTTCTCAACGCTATTTCAAACATCACTTAATTTTATTTAGAAATATCGATAAATCTACAAAAAATACTTTTATTATAAAAATAAATTTTTCTTGTGATTATCAATGAGTATCTAAAAAATATGTTTGTTTTGATGAGAAACGATTGATACGAGTATATGAAATCATGACATGTTGTGTGTGCGGTGTTTTGGTTACATTTATTTGAAGCATAACTTGATATTTAATAAAACAAGTGGTACTCAAAAATCAGGTTTTTATATGATATAAAAAAGATTAGTCAGAACTCACCAAAAAGTTTTTTAAAATAATCTCCTTTTCATGACATTACTATGGATAGCAATAATATTATGTTTTTTGAATTTAGGTCATCTATAGGGTTATAAAATGCAATAATATTTTAGTTATTATATGGTATATACAGTGGGATCTGTCAGTTATTTGTGAGAATAATAAATATTAGTTTGAATTAATCATTAGTTGGCGGATATGTTTAAGCATTAAGTAATTTTTACTTTTGCCAAACCTTGAACTTAATGCATACCTTTATTTACATTTTGTTATAAATAATATTTTACTAAAAAACTACAAATTAAGCACAAAGTAGTTTATTTCATTGTTCAAAATATTGGTTATTGATTTTATCATATGTGACATCTATTTTATTGTAACAATTAACACAAAATAATCAGATGGTATGGTCTAACTCATGCACTTTGCATTAAATATAATATTTAATAACTGATAAAATTATATGAATCCTTAACCTATTAATATATTATTATTATTATTTCCCAAATATAAGCCGGCTATTAAATTGTTGGCAATAATTACAAACTTATTTATCTTATGTATTAATACTGAATATGTATACAACTAATGCCCTTTAAATGGTTTTATAATAATATTCATTTGTGTTGACATATAGTCGTTTCCTTTACTATTTATATTGTTATTTTGATTTATTATTATGTTTATAACGCAAAGTTTATTTTTAGTCTTATATAATTAAACCGTTTGTATAATTCGTTTGCCTTTTTAATACCAAATTTAATGTTAAAAAATGTAATTTCTAACTAAGTTTATCTATAAAGTAATAATAAAATGAATAAACTTTATTGCAATTTGCAACACTAAGACATACTGTACTATAATATATAAACAATCAATTTTATGATAAAATCAAAATTGCAATCTAAACAATTGATAATAAAATTATAATGTTTATGTAAAATATATTTCAAATCAAATTCAATTTACTATAATAACAATCAATTGTTTAAAATATGTAAGTAACAGAAAAAATCAATGATATTATGAAATAAATGGATATTTTATGTTTTCGTATTTGTTAAATACATTAACGATTATAAAATATTTTAATTTATTGCTTACAAGACTTTTAAGACTAATAATTATTTTGCAATATGTAATATTCATTTTTAAAGAAAAATATGTTATAAATATTTATATGGAAATTGAAAATCTGTGTCTCAACTAATTTTGTAAATATTTAACTCATTTTTTAATATTTTATTGCAATATTTATAATATCGGTGACAATTTGTTTGATATTCAATCTGTATATTGCAATTACAGTGATATATCAATCATATAATTTTTAGACCCATAAAAATATTTGTTATAATTTATAACTTATAAATATAAAGACTTTTAATTTGAAAATATTTGGTATAATATGTATATACAATAAATATAATTGCAATAATTTATATAACTTATATAACGTAATGAAACCTCAAGTATTATTGAAATATAGTCCTAACTTCCTTAAACTAATTGATCCAATATTTAATCATTAATATGAAAGTACTTTATATACTGTATCATAAAAAATTTCTTTAATCACAGTTACAAAATGTATTATAATTTTAGCAATTTATTTGCAGTTAATTTGCAATTTTTTATTGCAATTTCTTTTCCTCTATATTAAAAAAAAAAATCTAATTTATTAAAAGTAAATATATTAATTGATAATTGACTTTTTAATTTTTTTAAATAATATATATTTCACCTATTAATTCAAAGTTATGCTTCTTATATACAGCAATATTTCTATACATTAATAATATAATATTTGACATTTGTTTTGTTGTTGTTGTTGTATTTCAACGTTTGAAGTAATTATTACAAAAACTAATCATACAATATCCTGTATATAATAGAGGATATAAGTTAATATATATATCTATATAGTAATGGACATTTATGAAATAACTATTTAGTGATTTATAACATTATTACTTACATGAGATGATTTTTTTTTTGCAATAAATAAAAAAATAAATTATTATGTATTATTTTTGTTGCAAATCATTTAGATTTTATGCTAATTTTATATAGTTTTAGCTAAACTTATATATTGTGAACTTTTACATTTAGATAACAACACTAAAGCTAATTATCAATAGCCTTGTGTTTTATATGTTATTATTTTAAATAATTAAATTAGTTTATAAATCCAATTAACTGTGAACTAAACTACCGTTTTGTGTATATGTAAACATTATTGAAATTTATATTTAAATTGTCAGATAGGCTTCATTAGTCATTTATTTATTTAGTTATATAAAAATCTATTGAAAATTTTAAATTACATAATTAGTTGACATATAAAATATGACCATGGGTTTTTGACTTTAAATAACAATTATTACTGAAAATAATTTCAATGAAAGTAAATTCAATTTTGACAAACAAAATACAATTAAACTTTAATATTGATTGTCTAAACATTTTCTCTTTTATCAAAGTCAGTAAAAAAAATCCGATATTTATTTAACAAGAATTTAATTTGTCCTTAAAAAGTAAATTCGAGTAATAATAATAATAATTATTATTATCTTTTTTACAATAAGTGACAGTAAAGTCAATAACGATAGCCAACAACACTGTCACATAAGTTGGTTGTGTTTACGACTTTCAGTACAAATGTATTTGTTTTTTGCTCTTAACTTATAATTACATTTTACTTCAATCGACTTCTTTTTAATATTAAATTAGATTTTACAGCAAAATATCCGTTTTTATAAATTTAATTATTTTTATATATCTTTGTATAAAACAGTTAGTCATTAATTTATATGTCTGATTATAACGATATAATTTAATAGATATCTATAAAAAATATATTTAATTTTTAATGATTCGCCTCTTTGGTATTTATATAACTAAAATGATTTACTTATAAAAATGTCATTTATTTGGCCATTTTTACTGCCAGGTTGTGTGACATTAAATATCATTTAAATTTTATTTCCTTTTCTGTCCTATTACTCAATCACTAGACTTATTGACCTATAATTTAAAGTGAAATTAAATTAATGTTTTGTATTAATCCAATGTAGGCGTTGGTATAATCTTAATAACTGTGAGTGGGATTGCATGGAGGCTGACATCGACGGGTCCGACCTGGAGGTCCATATTAGGTCTTCATGAGCTCCATCAACAACAGTCATTATGTAACGGCAGTTCACTTAATGAGGCGTCTCGCCGTTTTGTGCCACGAGTACCGGCGCCTTACGGTCGCACTGGTACTCATCATCATCCGTACGGAGCGATGTTTTATCCTGAATTTCAATACCGACCGCCACCGCCATCATATCAGGCGTCAATGCAAGAATACCGACTTCGGTTATTATTGCTGGACAGGACCTCATCGCACCCGCAGTCTACCTCATTGTCACCTGTATCGCCACCACCCACTTATAGATCATCTGCTGCTTCTAGTATGACCGGTAGGTTTCAAATAAAACTAATTTTAATTTCTAATATTAATTTATTATTATTATTATTATCATAATAGGAACTTTACCCCGACAGTCACAACATAATACAATACAACGGGCAACCAGTCGTCCTCCCAGCTATAGGACTGGAGAAGTACAGGCAGTAATATCGACGGCACCATCATATCAAACGGCTACCACACAAACGGTGTCACAACCGCAACCATCAGTACAGAGCCAACCATCGGCTACACAGATAAGACAGTCGACTTCATTGACCACAACAACAGGTGCATCGACTGCTGTGTCGACCACAATGACCACTAGTCAGACACAAACACCACTTCCCAAAGCATGTAAACCTATGACACAAAAGCCAAGTCATTATTCATCACAACATGACATTAATCGGGTGACAATACTTCAAACGACAAATACATCGCAAGTGTGTACACCTAATGGTGTCAACATAGTGGCCATAACTCCGACCACTATTATGTCAGCTAATACTCCGACCACAACGACAACTATACCCAATCTATCGACTTCTATAATATCTAACAATGAGGTCCAGATCTTGGCTCACGTGTAGCTCATTATTAGTCATTAATACAAACTATATTTGAAATTATATATAATTGAATTTATATTTTATTTTAAACAATTTTATCATTTTTATATAATTATAAATATATTATTTAGTTATAATACTGTACTTTTATTCATTAATTTCAAATATTTTACAAATAAAAGAGATTATGAATAAGTGCTTTATTATAACTTTATATATATAAATCCATTTTATAAATTTAATTGTAAATATATACCTTAATTCATGATACATGACATCGAAATAAAAATTAAATAAATTCTTATATTTTACCAAAATTTAAATGTCTGACAATTTTTTTTAATTTTTCAACAATTGTACGCTATTTTTATATGACATTATCGTAAATATTTATAAAAAATATTTATTACAGAAAATTTGTATATTAACCGATACACCGGAACAGTATAGTTGAAATGGGATGTCATGTCATGTAGAGTACAGATATAATATGTAATGAAAAATAATATAAGATTAAAATGTTTTTAAAATTTTAATTTATATGATTATTTGAATCCAAGTATTTATTAATTTAAAAATAAAATTTGTATGAAAAATGATTGCATTATAAAGAATATATGATATGATATATACATTTGTAATATAATATAATAATTGAAAGTTAATTAGTATTCGTAGTATTGGTTGTATTGTTCGGCAAACTTGAATTGGCGGCCGAATTGGTGGTCAGCGACGATATTGTTACGGCTTTTCGCAATTGATTGAAGTAATGGTTATATTGTTGTATTGTATCGATTGGTGAATAAATATCATTCATTTTTGATGCCATCCATTGATTAGTATCCGATAAACCACTACAGCATAGACTTTGAGCCAACTCTTTGATGAGATCCCAACAATGGTTGGCCACTACAGAAGGTCTGTATTCGACCTCCAATAGCACACCTTTGAATTGTGGTCCCAAAGAACAGGAACCGATTCGGATGGCAAAGTCACTCAACGACCACTTCTGTCCTCTGCAGTCAAAGCGCGACATCTTTTTGTTACTATAAATGGCCGACAAATTCATGACAATGGCATCAAAGGAGGCGTCGGCCACCAGTGATAATCCCGTGTCCAACAGTGCAAAACAACTCAATGGATACTCAGATGAATGATATATACTGAGTATACGTGATGTCTGACCACCCGATGGTATCATTGTGTCCATTATGTCAGATATCGGTCCACTCGCCGTATTTACCGAATAATAAGTATCGCATTCCACATAAAATTGTCCGCATTTTTGGGCGCCAAATGTTTCCAATTGTTTGCTAATTAATTCAATCATGTGTTGGCCACTTTTACCCGACGGAATCGGTAATGAATAGACACACGAAACACCCATCTTTTGTCTTAAGATTATTGTTTAACACGTGTTTGTGTTTGTAATCAAATATTGTCTTCAATTGTCAAAAACTATTAACAATTGACTCAAACATTGCAAACAGCGATACCTTTTGACTAAAGTATGAGTAATAAAAATGAAGACAAATTCAAAATATCTTTCGAGTCTTTGGTTAGACATCATTGGCCATCAAATGATACCAAAGATATTATTAAAAGATATTATTTAAATAAATAATTTAAATTTAACTTATTTTATTACTTTTAATTATATACATTAAACTTCATATTATTTTATTAAAAATAATTTTTGTATCAATATTACCAATAATTTTAGGAAAACCGGTAATAATTGATTGATATATAAAACATTTAGTTAGTTATGAAAACAATAACATAAATATATCACTCCTTCCACCACGAGATCAGACCTAATCCGGACTCATTGATTGTTCCCTAAGAAAGACAATTACATCAAATCAAACAAAACAATTGAAACATAGAAATAAAAAAAATAGCAATTAATTAATACTTTGATTAAATACGGAATTTTGCGTTTATTATCGGTAACTGTATTAGTATTATCGCCACCGGATATGTTTGAGGTCGATGTGGGACCAGATGGTGATGTGTCAACAAACAGCTCCTCTTTGACTTTAAATCTAATTTTTTCTCCGATATCCATAAATAGTTTGTTGTCTTCGTACTCCCAAAACCACAACTGTTCCGTTTCATCGCTAATAAAAAAGTTGACAACAATTCAAATACATTTTATACATATTTTAAAAGACATACAATTTGGAGTTATCCTGAAGATAATGAGGTGGTATTATGATGTCGGCAAAGAATCCCAACGACACAAGCACTCCATCCATCGATGACGACCTTATTTTGCCGACTATTACTTCACCAATAAACGGACGAAACACCACAAATCGGAAGTTAACTGAAATGTCATATAAAAACAAATTGAAAACAAGTTAAAGAAATGCAAATAACAGACAAAATAATTGGTAATCAAACCTAACGTATGGGTCGCGCCATCGCTTTGATAGAGAAATGATTTACCAATTTTGGTGATATCGGACAGACATATACAGAGACCAGTGTTTATGATAACCTAAGATAATCACAAAATTATCGGTTAGTTAGTCATCCAACAGGATGTCCATTACAATACCCGATTAGCCAACTTTCGGTTCAGTTCATCAGTGATGGCTTCCTTCTGACTGATGGCAAACATATGCGGAGGAATACGAATGGTATCCTCGAGTTGTACCAACACATACATTGCGTAATCAAGACATTGATCACCACTTGGTTTCAATCATATCATAACCACTGCTTTCAATCGTTGACCAAACACTGTGTCCACACTTGAGATCACTTATCACATCATCAATGATGTCATGCATTACATCAACACATCATTGATTGTCATTTCAATGTTTCCACACTTTCATCGATTGTATTATTGTTTGTATTATTCAGTGATATATTCAATGATCACATAATAAGTCATGAATTTGTTGAGACATGTGATGACAAACACTTTATTTCACAACAATGTGACCACAAATCCCGTTAAAGTCAGTGTCCGTCACTTCCAAAGGCGACCTTTTATCCGAAGATTCGGTTATAAACCGCATATTCACTGCAGAGGTATAATATAGTATATATTGATAATTGATTTATTTATGAATCAATTGATCCAATTGTTTTGGTTTAAGGGTTTCTGCCGCGAGTTAAGGGCGACGTCGGACCGTTGCGGACACTTCCCAACGAACCACTTCCCGATGAATGGAGAAAAAAGGAGGCATTGTTTGGTCAAAACGATTACATCGATCTGTTGGGCGACGGAAGTGTTTCAGTGACCGATCTTATGACAGGCACTCCCCGATGGCTCAAGAATTTTAAGGGCAATGAACTCCAAATGTCTGTTCGCAAGAAAAAGACTTATTCCCACTGGAAATGGTTGAGACCTAAGAAATATCACGAATTGGAGGCAAGAATTTTCTTCTTATATAAAAAACTTAACTTCAAGAGAGCTCCGCCTCCACCGCAATACCCGTAGAGATAGTGAGATAGTTGTCACACATGTGGTGACTATCACTTCAATCAATTTATATTTATAGACAAATGATTTAATTAAAAAAATAGTTATTAATTACATAATTATATTAAATAAAAATTTGATTAATTATTCGTCACATTTTAATAATGATTAATGAATTATTAATTGTTTTATTTTTAAGTTTATATTTATATTTATGCAAATTTAGCGGATATTTTTTGGGTTTAGACAAATTTTGACATTTTATTACAATCAATAATAATTTATATAATTTAATAATTTTATTTATTAAATTATAGGAAAAGTGTTTATAAACAATGTACTATCAATTATAATTATTATTTACCGGTAATTCAACTAAATATAATGTTGATTGAAAACAATTTTAATTATTTTAGTATATATATATATATTGCTAAATTTCTACTGAACATGAAAAATGGTTTATTGTTTTAAATGATACTTTGATTTGTTTTGAATAATACAGGAAATATTTTGCTGTATTTGTATAACATTAAATTTACAAATTGTTTTAACAATTTAGTTTACTCAACAATTTTTACATTTATTACGTTAGTTGAAATATAATATACAGTACTGTACACTATTGGTGTTATAAAGTTAAAGTGTACTGTATATTGCATTTTATTTAATTCAAATGAAAAAACTGAATTTCAAGGTCACATTTAAAACTTGTACCAGTAATACAATAATATTAAAAATATATTTTTAAATAATAATTATTTATTAGTTTTATACTGTAAATTGTTTATTAAAATTATTATTATTTTAAATGACTTTATGTATGAAAACTTTAAATTAATATTAATTCAATAAAAATAATACTAAGAATCGATTCTTTAGTATCCAAGCGGTTATTGATGACTGTGAGCGCAGGTTTGCATAAACAGTATATTGAATGTATTGTATATAATCTGTATAAAACAATGTAAATGTATTGATGACTATATATATATATACAGTATATATATATGAAGGTCAGTCATATTAGACATACAATTATGTAATTATTATGAAGACATCAGGCGTTTAGCGCATGCATTGCATTACCAACTGGTTTATGGTTTGACAACATTTAGAGAGTGGCGTGACTTTCAAGCAAACACTTTCTGTATTTAATTTGAGTCAAAAAACAACTACCAGTCCCTACAATAGCTTTGCTAATAATACTTAACCCTTAAAAATATGATTTGAATTTGTTTATTGATCGACGAGTTTGTAAATGTCATAATTGATTGACTATTAGTTATTATTGAAAGATTGGGTCAATTAATTGAATTTATTTGTTAAAAATATATTTATTGTTTTGATAATTGATGTTAAATATACCGGTATATCATATAAAACTGTAGGACTAATGTTCACCAAATGATGTCATATCCAAATTGTCATACAATGACAGCAATTGTTTAATTTAGTGATAATAATAATAAATAATTAGTCAAACATTGATTGACACATAGTTTCATATTTTTCATTCACATTAGTCTAAAGTTTTGTTACTTTCAATTCCGGACTCTTTTTTATTAAACGATTAGTTATCCGATAATAAACTTTAAATTATTTATAAATATTTAAAGTTTATTTGCGCTAAAGTTTGCATTTAATTTCAACTGACTTTTAATGAAAATGATTTTAATTAAAGTATTTCAAAGAAATGTTTGCTTTGCTATAAAAGCTAACTTTTCAACGACTGCTGCCATTAATAAACAGGTAATTATTAAAATTAATTAATAATTTAAAAAAATTTTAAAAAATTGAAAAAACAATTTATTGAATTTTAGGCGGGTTTGGATACATCGACCAGAATATTAGCTAAAAGTATTACATTAAAACATTTAAACTATCAATCAAGTCGTTTATCAACTATTGAAGACAAGAATAGTAATGAAAGTGATAATAGCTTAAGATCTCGACCATTGGTGGTATTGTTGACGTGGCTGATGGCTCAGGAAAAACATGTCGACAAATATAGCAATCTTTACCTACAAAAAGGCTTTGATGTTTTGACAGTGAAGACAAATCCATTTGATTTAATGTTTCCTTCAATCGGTTCCCGAAAAATAGCACAGAATTGTGTGACAGCCCTCAACACAGAGCTATCACAATATCCTTCAGTAATACTTCACGCCTTTAGTGTCGGCGCCTATCAGTTTGGAGAAATGCTTCTTGAAATACAAAAGCAACAAATAGAGAACAATGAAGACAAAGACGGCTTAAATGGTAGGATCAAAGGTATTGTCTTCGATAGTGTTGTTCCGTTTGAAGAGCTCTCAAATGGTGTCTCGCGTTCACTGACAACAAACCCATTCTTATATAAAATAATAAAATCCTCAATTAATGGTCACTTAAAAGTATGCAAACGTTTTGCTACAAAATACTATAAGGCTTCCTCTCAAGCGGTTTGGGGTAATTATATGCGAGTGCCAGCACTGGTATTGGTCTCACAAAATGATAGGATTGGCACGGCTTCAGCTAATAGAAGATTGACCGATGTTTGGCGTAAATTAGGTATTGATGTGACATTCAAGTGCTGGGATGAGAGCGGTCACGTCCAGCACCTGCCTAAACATCCCATTGAATATGAAGAACTTATCGACAAGTTTCTCAACAAAATCAATATTCATTCAAATATTATTCGCTATTAACTTATTATTTTTATTATTGTCGCTAATCTTTTATAAATATAAATATTACAATTTATTAAACATATATTAAATTTAAAAATATGATTTTATATAATTATTAATATATTATTATTACAGTATACATTGTAAAATTATAATTTTAATATATGACAATAATATTATACCGGTAATCAAATAAATATAATTTCAAATATTATACTTGTATTAAATAAATATAGTAATTAAAATAAAATTTATTTCTATGTTTACAATTACGGTAATTATACACTTTACTCATTTGGCACATCCATTAATCAAATACTACCGGTAATTGATTAGGATATCCACTAAAACTAATACATCCATCATTCATAACAATAATTTTATGGCAATCCATGACATCATGCAATCGATGAGATATTATAAGGACAGTCATATTTTTAAAATACTCTTTAATAACGTTTTGAATATATCTATTGCTTTCGTTATTCATATTAGCCATCGATTCATCCAAAATAATAATCCGTGTTTTCCGAAGTAATGCTCGGACTAAACAAATGAGTTGTCTTTCACCGCAACTCATATTAAATCCTTGATTTGTTATCTTATAGTCTAAACCATCTGAATAAATGTTTAAAAATTTTGGCCACACTTTAGTCAAACAATGTAATAGTTGTTTGTCATTAAATTGGTTATTTGGATCCAAATTAAATCTTAATGTATCACTAAATAATGCAATATCTTGTGGTATTATCACAATCTCTGATCTTAATTTATTTAAGGCTATCAATGATATATCAATGCCATCAATTAATATTTGACCCGACGTTTCGCTAAATATATTCAATAATGATAACGCCAGAGATGTCTTGCCTATTAAAAGTAATAATAAAATTAATTGACATCCTTTCAGATTTATCAATTACCGATTCATGTAATACAACATACCTGAACCGGTTCTGCCAATGATTCCCACTTTTTGGCCACTTTTAATAAAAACATTTAATGACTTAAGTGCTGGTTTAAAGCCTTTATTGTAATAAGCAGTAAAATCTTTGAATTGAATATCACCGGTGAAGGACCAGTTGTTACTGTCATTATTGATTAAAGTCTGTGATTTTGATGTCAATTCTGTTTTTATATCCATATAATAATGAGCTCTTTTAACTGATACAAAGTCAAGAATCAATCGTTGTCCGGCGTGGATCAGTTGAGTTATTTTATTGATAATTGTATTACAATTTTCTAATACAAACGCACCGGTAATTACAGTGATATGATCTCTATTGTATATCACTTGTATTGAAGCCATTAACATAACCATTGCATTCATAAAAGTTATTATTACTTTTAAACAACGACTCGATGACAGTAAACAGTATTCAACATTAGTTTGTCTATCGATTTGGTCATAATATTCATTGATAAACATATTTTGTGCGCCAAATGTCCGGATAGTTGTGATTCCGGTTTGGGTTTCACTTAAATGATTCTCAATTATTGGATATGTTTTCATTTGAAGTCGTTTTAATTGTTTTGTAGTTTTTGTATATAATTTCTAATATATAATGAGAAATAGTTTTAATAAATTAAAAATGTGCTTAAATTAAATATATTAAAAAACTATAGTATCTATAAAAATCTTACATTTATTTTAATGCTGATAAACAATAGTATGATTAAGATAATAGATAAATTATAAAATATTTGATTAATTATAAATACTATAACCAAAATCCAAAATAGATTTTCCATAAAGTGTATCAAATTAAACGGTATGTTTGTATTAATTATATATAAGTCGTCCATCAATAGAGAGACAAAGTTTGCCACAGATATGGTAACTAATGATTGATATTCAAAGTGTATAATTGTTTGCAACAGATGTTTAAAATATTTAAACGATTGTTCGACAGCTAAATGAAATACTGTTATATTTGATATAAAAGTTAGGATAGCATTGATGACAACCAATATTAGATAAACTGTTAGACAAAAATTAGATGTATAATTGGGACTTAGATTTTCTGTCCAATTTGTTATCCAATATTTAGTCAATATTTGACACAAATTAGATAATAAATAAATAATAATGAGAACAATCAACAATTTTAATGACGATTGTCTACAAAATTTGTAAATATCTTTAAATGATATATCATTTGTCACATCATGTGATATCATATTATCAGTTTCAGTGTCTAAACCAAACTCATTATTTATATTTGTTTCATCGCTAGTATTTATTTTTCTATTAACATCAATCAAACCAATTAAATCTTTTAAATCACAGAATTTACCAAAATTATCAATTTTACCATTTTTTAAGACAACAATATAATCACAAAATTTAAGAAATGAATGATTAGTTGTAATCCATATTCGAGTCTTACTCTTAAGCAAACCGCTCTCATTTGAAATCACTTCATTGAATATATGATGAGATGTCTGTGTGTCCACACAATTGAGTGGATCGTCCATCAGATAAATATCGCTGTTATGATAGACAGCTCGAGAAAGTGATAATCTTTGTTTCTGACCTCCACTCAAATCAATGCCATTATTGCCGATCAAAGTTTGATCACCGTTTGGGAAGTTTTTAAAATCATAGTCGAGTGCACACGACTTAACAACTTTATCGTACCATTTCTTATCATAAATTGAATTGAATATAATGTTTTGTTTGACACTTTTTCTTTGAATCCATGGATTTTGTGGTATATAAGCAATTGCACCGTTAACTTGAATAGTGCCCTCAAGTAGAAACATCTCACCAGTTATTACTGAAAATAACGAAGATTTACCACAACCTATATCACCAATAATGGCAACCAATGATTTTGATGGTATTTCCAGCCATAGATTTTTGAAAAAAACATTAGTTATTTGATTAATCTGGTTGTTATAACTGAAACATATATTATCTAAAATTATTGAAGACTTGGTATTATCAGAAACAGGCAATAAATATGAGTCAATCACTTCTTCACTTTCCAAGAAAAATGTTATTTTTTGAAGACTTGATTTAAATTTAATAATTGAGTCCAACATATGTGGTACCGATGATAAACCATATTCAATGTTATGTGTCAATGAAAATATTGTAAATATTATTTTAATGTTTATTTTGTCAAAACCATTGCAGAATATGTAAATTGAAAGACACATTGCTATTGATATTAGTACTGATAATTTCCATATTAATTCTAACACTAATAAAATAAGATTAATAACAAAATTAAATGTTATTATAAAATATATATATAAAAAATACCTGAATTCCAGTAAACTAATTGTCGAAACTTATCCACTTCTTTGACTTTGACATCAATTACTCTATTTATAAATATTTTTTCCCAAACAAACATTTTAATAGATTTAATATTAGTAAAAATCTCATTTAAATTCTTCATATTAATGGCCATCAAATTTGATATCTTTTGATGAATTTGCAAAACTTTGTATTGAATCATATAAATACTGAGTGCAAACATAATCGGCACTATTATTGTAACCAAAGAGACATTTCCTATCATTTGCCACAATATGCAGACACTGACCACAACTTTTATCGGATTTATTATCATTTTAGTTAAATACATGACTAATAATGATATATTCATTGCATCGCTAAATAAGACATTTAATTGATCACAAGTGTATAGGTTTCGCGATTTTAGATTCAATTTTAAGAATTTCTTGTAAATTAATTGTTTGAGTGCCACTTGAATCTTGAATTTACAATTATTTGAATAATATATATTGTTTTCATCAAATATTGTACTCATTATATTTAATAGACAATACAATAAACAATATATTAAACCAAAAGTTAAATCATCTTTATTTTGTAAAAAATATATAATTTTAATAAAAATATATGGAGTTAACAGTTCACACACTACAGTGATTGTATCAAAAATTAATGCAATACTTAGTGAATATTTAATCAAATTTAACAAACAATTTACTAAACCTTTTGGTTTAATACTTTTTAACTTTATTTGTCGTTCAATTGTTTTACATTTAAAACAATCATTTAGTTGACAATCATTTTCTGTCAACAAACAATTATTCCCTTTTTGAAACAATTTTAAAATCCATACAAATGTAATTTGAAATAATAAAAAGTTATTTTCAATATATAAATTTTTAGATAGAGTCGAAAGTATAACAACAAATTTGGATATTTTAGGTAACATATTTTTAAAAATATATACTGTTATTATTATTATTATATTGTAAAAATATTTTTTTTGTATAAATAATATATCATCAGTTTATTTAGACAAATTGATAAATACTGTATAACTGAAAATGTATTCAAATTTACACATTATTATTATTAGTTTCTTAATGCTGGTAGTTATGTTGTTATTCAATGTTATTAAAAATAACAAAAATTATTTATTAAATATAGCATATAGTTAATAGCATAAATTACAATTAGTGATAAATGATAAATTCACACTAAGCTTAATAAAATGAAATTAAATAAACATATTAAATAAAATATTATATATAGTGTAAATGCTTAAATAGCATTTTTTAAATAATCTTTTACTTAAGTTAATTATTTGATAACTTTGTTTATAGAAATATATATAAAGACATTATTTTTAATATTGTGATTAATATAAAAATAATCTTTATTTATAAATAAATTGAAAATTAATTTTTTAAAATAAATAAAGCAGATTTTAATTAAATTAAATCATATTATTTTACAAATATAATAATATTTATAATTTCTACTAAAATCTTTCAAATATTAATTCAAATCTATCAACTATTAAATATAAAATGCATTTTGTTTTATGCCTTGACGTCGTCCAATGTATCCGGTATTTCCGTGCCTTTAGTTTCAGGTAAAAAAAGGGCTAAAATCGCCGAACAAAGCGATAAAAATGCATATAAAACCATTACTACTGATAAGCTGGTGTTTGCAGCCTTTATCGCAATTCATATAATAAAATATGATAAATATAAAAACATATACATTATATTATAATAACATAACTTTTAATCAATTAATTTATTTACCAAATTCTTCATGAATGGTGAAGCCATTGAACCTAATCTGCTGAATGACGATGAAGTTCCGGCGCCAGTATTTCTCAATACTGTTGGGTATACTTCTGGTACGTATATCTCATATATCCACCAAAGAGATCCAACAGAAAATTTACCAAAGAGTGCAAATGTTACCTTCCAATTGGGATCAGTTGTGGGAATAATGGCTAACGAAGATATGATGATAATTGACAGAAATGTAATCAATGCCATGCGTCGACTCATGTATCTCAGGGCTAATATTGATATCAATGAAGAGGGCAGTTCCACAATACCAGATAATAGGAAAGTAATATAAAAATTGCCCCCAAAATCGCCCATATTTAGAGTGAATCCATAATAAACGAGTCCCAGTACTGTCCATGAAAACCAAAATATAAGAGTATAGTTACGCAGATTTGGTGTCTTCACTAAGTCAAACATATTATAAGTTTTGGTAGTTTTATTAGATGTCTGATTCTGTTGTCAATAAAGTTTTTATAAATAAAATTAATCAATAAATATATGTTTTTATAAATACTTTTGAAATATGTGTTCTAAACTGCAAAAACTTTTGATCAAAGTTTTTAGCACTCAATCTGTTTTGTTTAACAATCTTTTTGAGTATAGCCTCGGCTTCATCGGTGCGTCCTTTGGTTATCAGCCAACGGGGAGACTCTGGTATAAACCTAAACCAGACCATACATATGATGATCGGCACAATACCGAACCAATTCATTATTCGGAAATCTTTGAGCCAAAAAGCAATTCCCGGTAACATAACATAACCAAAAACCCACCCAAACCCGGCTCCCATATAAATGTCTGATCTATGTTTTGGACCACAACTTTCCAATACTGATATTTTTGATAATAATTATATTTAGATTACATTTAGATTATTGATGTAATAAAATAATAGATAACTTACGTGATGTAGAAATAGGTCCGGAACAACCATATATTGCTAGTCCTAGTAATAGTCTAGAGATTGAATACATCCAAATGTTGACAGCAGTTGCGCCCAAAATCCATGAAATTATTTGTAAGACAAATGACACCCAAACCAATGGCTTTCGGCCGTATTTGTCGGCGTATTGAGACAATAGGACACCAGTTATCAGATAACCCAACATAAAAAATGATTGACTCAGAGATGCATAGTTAGATCGGTCACAAACTAAGTCAAACTATAGAGTTGTAAATAATTGTTATTTTAATTTTATATTTTCAAAAATTTGTTATTTAATTCATATATATTATAGTATTTACTTCAGTAATAATTGTTTTATGAAAATCTGTTGTATTATATTCCCATTGATTGCAAGTTTGATTTGGATTTGTATATTCTAGACATCGATATTCTTCAAGTGATATATTATTCTACAATAAAATTTAAATCAAAATAATAATATAAAATGACATTAAACTGTATTAAAAAAGTAGTTAAATTGATTTTGATTATATAAAAATAAAATTTATCAATTTAGCAAAAAAATAACATAATAATATTGATTAAATTGTAATTAACTAATAACTAACCTTAGATTCAATGGGTATATCACGACACCAATAGTCAACATCATATGCATGAAAACTATAGCTGAGATCGCCGTAAGCATTGAGGGAAATGACAACAAAGACAAATGCGCTCAGATTTAACTGCCAACGACCCCACTCACCCACGATATCGGATATATATTTGGCTTCAGGTTTGTCTTTAAGAGACATTTTTTATTTTTCTAAATTTTTAAAGATTTTTCTAAATTATTAAAGATTTTTCTAAATTATTAAAGATTTTTCTAAATTATTAAACTAACAATTTTTAAATGTGTATAATTTAAATGTATTTATACAGAAACTACTATATAGAAATTAGTATTGAGTAAATATATTTCAAAATTAATAGTTTTAATAAAAAGTTTACTTTAGATTCAAATAAAGTATATCTTTAATATAAACTGTTATCACTTATAATATTTAGTTTTTATGTCAATATATTTTTCAATACAAAAACCAGAAGAAATAGTTAAAACATTAATTGAAAGTATGATTGAATGGTTCAGAGGATACCAATTGATTAGCAATTGATTATCTATTGATAGTTTTGGTAATGTTTTATACTGTTTATAACAGATCCTTGAATTGGCCTCTGATTTGACTGACAGCTCCAACAATATATTAATGTCTGCTTTAAATTTAATCTTTACATCTATTAAAACAAATACACTTACATCTACTTAACATTAAATTGATTACAAATATTGTAAAATTATATCAATACTATTCAAATATTATGGTTCAGCAGCTAAATAAATAATTTAATTTATGTAAATAAATTAAATTGTATTTTTAAATAATGTAATTCAATTGTTGTAACATCACAAACAAGTTTTCTATAATACTAATTACTTTAAAACAAGTTTATATTAAATTATGATTTATTTTTCTATTAAATAATTATATAAATTCATTAAACAATTGATCATTAATAATAATTGATTATAAATAAATAATAATACATAAATTAATAGTCGTATAAATAATTTTTGTTGATATTTAAATATTTCTATATTTGAAGTAATAATATTGTTAATTGCAATAATTTTATCAAATTAATAATAAACTTAAAAATAGCGCCAAAATTTGTTTAAATAATATTAAATAATTTTCCTAAAATATTCCTGCATTTTATTCCTAATATTGTAAATACACTAAATTACCGATTACTCAAAATATGTCGATATATTGTAATAATTAAATATTACAATAATATATATATAATGTTTATTAAATATAAATTTTATATATGTATTAATTTGAATTTTGTTATATTTTACTAAAGTAAAGATATTGTGATATAAAGTATATGTTATATAAGTTATGCAAACTATTAACGCATTCAAAGCTTTGATTGCATAAGAAATGTTGTGAAAGTACACGAGTTTTAACACAAATAGCGGAATCATTGTTGACATTACTGTATTGTGAAGCCATTAGTTAAGTGAACAAATGTTTGCCATACACTGTACTCATATTATAGAGTATTATGCGATAACAATCAGTGCTTTTATTATTAAAGGGATCGCAATAACAATAAAAACCATTGAAACATATGAATAGAGTTATGCAATGATATAATGTTATCGTTAATAGTATTGAAGTAATTGTTTGACACACAAGACATGTGTTTAAGACATAAATACCGATTCATAATAGCCATCAATACGCCTATAAAATGCATAAATCATTGATATTATTGTCGCTAACACTTCTTCTTCATTGGGTTTCATTGATCACCACTAATGAGGTAATTGTCACCAATTGGTCACCAATTGTTTGCAACCAATTTGTTTACAAATGTCTTTGATTAGCAACCAGTGGCCATCAGAGAACCATCTTTATTGGTGTCGACACTGGACGGTACTCTTCACGCTATCGGCCAAACATCGGGTCTTATTAAATGGTCGGTCAATGAGTCGCCTATACTTAAGGTTCCAACCGTTGAGAACATAACAGAACAACAGAGACGAAGAACTTTATTTCTTCCGGACCCTAAAGACGGATCACTTTATCTTTACAATGGCTTCAGGTATGTATGAGATGATAATCTTTGTGTAATTTTGTGTCTGAAATTGTATTCAATAATAATTTTTGTTTTTTAATGACTACAATCAAACCGATTAGTTCTACGGACGGCGAGACAGAGACATTAGAGAAGTTGCCGTTCACTGTAAGCGAATTGGTCTCATCGAGTCCTTGCCGTAGTTCTGATGGATTGCTATATACGGGCAAAAAGATTGACGAATGGATTACCATAAATGCACAGACAGGTCATCGCGTGGATGTCCTTAACTCAGACACACCGATGTGTCCGTCGCCGCCGTCGACCACCACATCGTACGACACGCAGACGACAAATCTTTTATTTATCGGTAAAAGTGAATATCATTTGTCTATTTTTGACTTAAAAACAAAGCAGAAGACTTGGAACTTGACTTTTACCGACTTTTCTGCGTCTGCCGTGTCTTCAATACCACAAAATGCCTACGAATTTCTTCATTTGACTTCAAGTACAACTGGAAGGATAGCAACAATTGATTTGTCTAACGATGCAAACAGATTATTATGGACTCATCAGTTCTCATCTCCAGTTGTATCCATTTTTCAATTTAATGACGGAATAACACCTGTTCTCCGACGGGTTCCCTTCTCAACCATTGGTGGGACTGTTATTCCTCGAAATTTGCAACAAAGCAATCCATTGTATCCATCGCTATATATCGGAGAAATGGCGAACTCAAAGTCGATGTATGCATTGACTACTTTAGTAGATTTGACACAAACACCACTAATTCCGACAAAAAAGACTCGAAATCTACTGATTGAAGGGCCGGACATATTTGAATCGATTCACACAATTGAACAGTATTTTAATATTTTGGTATTTGGTTATTATGAGTACCCAAGGATGAGAAAAAATGAAATTTATCCACAATTTCAAATCAGTGAAACACCACTTCACTTATTGGCACAACAAAAGCAAACTTCCGTTGAGGAACCACTCATAATATCAAACATATCTTCAAATCAAGATATTCTTGATATGAAACATATTTATATAGAATTGTTGCGCACAAGTATGACATTTATAGTGGCCGTCATATCTGTTGCGGTCATAATCTATTGGAATTCAAGATATATTAAATCAAACAAAGAGCACAACAAAATCAATGATCCCAACTGGACTACTGTTGGAAAAGTTAAGTTTGAAACAAAAGCAATTATAGGTCGGGGCAGCTCAGGTACATGTGTTTATAAGGGGTTGTTTGAAAACAAACAAAAGATTGCCGTCAAGAGGGTAGTGGCCGACCATTTTGTTTTGGCCGAACGTGAGATTGAATTGCTTCGGTCACTCCAACACCCGAATTTGATAAGATATTTTGCCACCGAATCGGACGAAATGTTTCGATATATAGCCATAGAATTAGCTGACCTCACACTTTATGACTATATTGAAGGTAGGGGTGAGTTGGCAGAGCTTAATCCCAAACATGTGTTGCATCAGTCATGTCTAGGATTAGAACATTTACATTCTTTAAACATAATTCATAGGGATATTAAACCTCAGAATATTTTGATATCACATCCATTACCGCCCAATTATTTAAGGAAAGTTATGATTTCTGACTTCGGTGTCTCAAAAGTATTAACAAATGAACAGTTATCGACTGAAGTGTCGATAACATTGAAAGGTACTGAGGGTTGGATTGCACCCGAAGTGTTAAATTCAAAACTTGAGAGAATAACATTCAAGCCTTCAAAACCTATTGATATTTTTTCAATGGGATGTCTATTATACTATACCCTAACCAAAGGGTATCACCCATTTGGAGATCTTTTACACAGACAGTCAAATATACTGTTTGGTCGGTTTGATATCGTGCTAATGAAAACTGAGGAAACTATGAGTGAATATAGCCTTATAAATGCCATGATTGCCTCCGATCCAAAAGATCGACCAAACATCGAATCGGTGGTTAAACACCCACTGTTTTGGACACCAAGTAAGGCGTTGCAGTTACTGCAGGATGTCTCCGATCGTATTGAAAAAGAACCGGTAGATTCACCCGTAGTGTTAACTTTAGAGAGGGGTGGACTTGACGTTTGTAGAGGTGATTGGAGAAGACACATATCAATTGAATTACAAGCAGACCTCAAGAAATTTCGCTCATATCGCGGATCATCAGTAAGAGATTTATTGCGCGCAATGCGTAATAAACGTCACCACTATAGGGAACTGCCTCATGAAGTACAACAATCTCTGGGTTCGATACCCAATCAGTTTGTTGAATACTTTACTACAAGATATCCCCGTCTTTTGATACATTCATACATTGCTCTACAAATGTGTCGAAATGAGGATATCTTTGATACTTATTATGAAAGAGATTCAATTCATTATGAGTCTCTCCCGAGGAGTGGTATCAAATGGTTTACCAAAAATAATGAAAACTTAATGCCTAACGGTATACCCAGTGATGACTCACTCGAGTCAATCAATTGGAAGAGTTGTAAGAGAAAAGGTTCACCCGTTAAGAGATTTAATAACATTAATATTGAGGGTTCGCCACCTAAAGTGGACACAAATTGGGGCAATACTAATGTATATAATGATTAAGTTAACCAAATTATTTTTCCATTATTGTTGTATTATTTTTTATTACATATTATATTCTTATATTTAATAATTTTGCACGAAATAAACTTTAAAATTTATGGTAATTTTATGTGTAAAATGATTGACAACTTATATAGATTATTACAACGCAAATCTTCTTCGATTTACTCCAGAGTCGTGTCGCTAAAGATAAAGACATTGTAAGTAAAGAGTAATTGAGAGTCAATTTCATGGCAACAATACCTTTAGTGCCCATTCGTATTCACCAAACTTAGAGTCAAACGTTCCCTTTTGTAGAGAACGTAACTTAAGTGTAAATCGAGGGCCGATCTCTTGAATGGCAGCTCTTGAGTTGTTTTTAAATTCATATCTATTAAAGATTTAAAATAATATTTATTCATCGAATAGGAGCTCAAAATATATATAACATACCTGTGATGTCTAAAAAATACATAATCTCTTTGATTATGAAATGTAACGACACGTCGGCCCTTGAATTGTGGGTCGTAATGAAAAACTGAAGCAAACATACGACCGATTGAATGGCCGAGTCTTGTGTTGAAATTATTAAGAATTACTTCGGGTCTATGAGAGCTATATTGTGCCCGTTTCTGGTCAATCGGTTATATAAAATAAATAAAATTAACTCATTTATCGGTAATGTTATTAACAATTCATACCTTTATTTCTTTACAATAACGAATTGAACTCAGTTTGTAGTGAGCCGTCGGACCATTTGGTAAATGAATGTGAAGTAAGCCATCTATTAATATGAATATATATTTATATATAATAACAATTGATATAAATTCAAAATCAAATAACACTTCATCTCTTACTTGGTTTCCTCCAGTCTTCGTTTACAATCACAATGTCTGTATAATCCCTATCGATGGCAGCCTTAACCATATTTTTAATACTGGATCTGTTTCTAAATCTAAACTCTGCATTTGGTATCGTTTGTTTCAATTCACGACAAAACTTTATAGTCTTAGTGTGCGGATTATCGCTCGATGTAATCAATATTTTCGGTTCAATTTCTTTACGAAAATAAGTAGCCATCTCATCGTGTTCTTCATCCTCTTTGACATCTTCATCGTTAGGATCAACCATTGTTTCATCCGGTTCTCGGGTCGACTCAATAGTTCGCGGAACTAATTTCTGTGCCTTTGGTGTCAAAACAAGTCGTATAAAAACAAACGTTAATAAAGTTTAATACAAATTCAAACATACCTTTTCTCCCATAGATTTGGCCTCATTTTGTCGGGCAGTTCGGGCCTCCTTTTTGGACTAAAACAAATACAAAATATGTTTATATATTGAGACAATTCATTAGTTTCAATCAATACAATACCTCTTTCTTTTCTTTCTTGAGTTTCAAATACACCTCTCGTCGTCTGATTTTGTTTTTGATTTTAGACAACAAATCATTTTCGGGAAACAATACATTTGTTTCACTTTTTTCATTCTTACTATTGTTGTCAACGTCTTCATCATTACCAATAGTATCATCATTTGGTTCTTCATAATCACTGTCACCGCCATCAGAGTTATTCATGTCTTCATAATTATCATCACTTTGTTGTGTGACTTCTTCTTCATCATCATTGTCCATATCTTCAAAATCAAATCCATCTTCAGTGCTATCATTTTCTTCAACATTTTGTTGTTGTCGTCGTTGTTTGCGAGCCATTGTTGTCAATCAATTGGTCTCCAAATGACAATCAAAATAAATGACTTAAAAGAGACAAAACATGTGTTCAACTCATCAAACGTTTCATACGTTTAACGCAAACGCATTGCAATCGGCATTAAGTTTAGCGATTGAAATGAAATTCAAGAATCAATGGAAAACAAGTATAAAGTTTGGCCCACTTTTTCATACAATGCACTGATTATAATACAATGTTGTTATGGAAACACATGGATAGGCGGAGTCATACACACTGTTTAATGTTATAATAAATTAGTGATGATTTGATTAAGTGTTATGAAATGCAATCATAATTTATATGATATTTATTGATAAGTTTTTATCACATTTGCAATCACTGTGTTTACCATTATTTCTTAGGATATATTCATTGTCTTTAAACGGCATTACAAACACAAATACATCACTTAATTGGAGGAAACAGTGATATGTTTAGACAATAGAGACGATGGCATTAAAATTAAAACATTTATTACCAATCAATACATTTCTGCGTCGATCTGTTCCAGTGGTCAACAGTTGTTATCAACAGAAGCGATGTCTTAATTTACAAGAATATCAAAGCAAACAATTGATGCGAAACAATGGCGTTAGGGTTCAGCGCTTCTGTGTTGTCGAAAGTGTCGATGAGATTAAGTCGATTATCGGCAACTATACCGAATGTCCTTCGGCAGACTCATCTAAATCTTCGAGTGAACAATTCAGTGATCTTTCTTTGGCCGAAGTAGAAGAATATGTCATTAAAGCCCAGGTATTGGCCGGTGGACGCGGCAAAGGATATTTTAAGAACTCTTCGATGAAAGGAGGAGTTCAGCTGACAAAAGACAAATCAAAAGTATCTGAAATTTGTGGTAAAATGTTAAACGATTATCTGATTACAGCTCAGACCACCAAAAGTGGTGTTTTAGTTCATAAAGTGATGATTGCAGAAGCGCTCGACATTAAGAAAGAACTTTATTTAGCTATACTTTTAGACAGAGCCAGCAATGGACCAGTGATTGTTGTCTCACAAGAAGGCGGTGTTGACATCGAACAGGTGGCTGAAAAAAATCCCGACGCTATCCATAAGTTTATTGTACCGATTGATACAAATTCCGATAATTTGGACTTAGAATTAGCTAAAAATGTAGCTAAAAATGGTTTGGGTTTAACCGGACATTTAGCCGACGACGCGGCCGAACAAATATCTCGTTTGTATAAATTGTTTCTGAATTTAGACGCACTTCAAGTCGAAATCAATCCGTTCGGTATCTCAACCAAAGATAAATTAGTTTGTTTTGACGCCAAAATCAATTTCGATGAAAACGCAATATTTAGACAACAATGGATGAAACAAATAGAGAAGGATAACGCTTCTGAAGAAGACCCAAGAGATCAATTGGCCCGCGAATACAATTTAAATTTTGTTCCGATGGACGGCAATATTGCATGTCTGGTCAATGGTGCTGGTCTTGCAATGGCTACAATGGATATTATTCATCATTACGGTGGAAATCCCGCTAACTTTTTGGACGTCGGCGGGTCTGTTAATCAGGAGGGCGTCGAAAATGCTTTTCGTTTAATAACTGCCGACCAAAAAGTTAAGGCCATTTTGGTTAACATATTTGGCGGTATTGTTAACTGTGAAATCATTGCAAAAGGTCTGATTGCTGCCAAAAATCTGGTCAAAGTTCCACTCATTGTCCGACTCGAGGGCACCAATGCTGAGACAGCGCGAGCTTTATTAAGTGATGTGTCGGATATCATATCAGCTGCAGATCTGGACGACGCGGCACAGAAAGCCGTCAATTCGGTCAAAATATAATGAATGACAAATTGTTGACAAAAAGCTATTTCCAATTTTATAGTGTTTTAGATTTTATATGCTATTATTATTGACAAAAGTTTAATTAATCTGTATTTTTCATGAATATTATTTTTTATCGATTTATTAGACAAATTGAAACATATTTTATGTAAATTTATTACAGAATCAATGATTTGGTAATTAAATAAAAAATAATTATTTGATAAATAAGTCAATGATTTGTTTAAATCAATGGAAATATCGTATAAAAATGTTTTCATTGATATCATAATTAAGGGATGGATTTCTGTATAAATAAAGTGGTCATCAGTTTCTTGAGTTATTTCTTTCTGTTTCAATAAGACATTCGCGGACCAGAATTCTCGCGTGAATTATACCTCTCTTGAGCCGTTCGGCCGAACTCTTTGAACCCGAATATGTCGGCCGAATGTCTTTGCCTTTAAAAATGACAAAATTATTGTTTTAATAAACAATATTTCAAATCCTAAATACAATTCAGACCTAATTCTTCAATCACTTGCAAAAGTTGCGCGTATTTTGATGTTGAGTTCGTCGGTTGAATGGGACTTATGCCGAGTGACGGCATCTGCGATGGTGTCAGTAATGTGGGAACACCTGCGGCCACAAACTGTGCCTGAGATGAGACAACACTTGAAGACACCATTTGTTGGGCCAATACTTGTTGAGCCAATTGACTGGACATCTGATTCAACATAAGCGGTGAATCACTTGAAGTTGGTTTGTCGTCCATAATTAGATCCATGTCTTCTTCGGCAATCAGTTGTTAATATTTTCTTATGAAGAAATTGTCATCAATTGAGTCAAAGTGTTGAAAGTGTGGATCAGTTGACACTATTTTGTCCATCAAATCAATTAATGACTCAATATTTTTGGTGACATTTAATCAATTGTTCACAAATAGTGTTACAATTGATATGACTTTTTATATTGATTTTCATTCAATACTTTCGTTACGTAATGTCTGCCATTAAACCCATTATTATTATTATTGACATACAATAGACGTAACATTATATTTGAATTTCTAAAAATAGTTTTTAAATTTATTAATTAAAATATAATTAATTTTAAATTAATTAAAATGATATTATAAACACATAATTATAATATTAATATTTCTATAAAATAAATTCAATTATAATATTAAGAAAGTTATTAAAAATATAATAAATATATTAATGAATACTATATATAGAAACTGTTATTTAGAAAATATGAAAAAATATATAACTGATTGATAGACAGTTATGTAAACCTACTGTTCCTGTCATAGGGGGTATAGCTGTTGCAGTGATCGTTAAGTGAGCTCAGCTTTGCTAACACCCATAACAATAGCCCGCATCGCACCTCCTTTTTAGGGGTTTGTTTGGATGCAATTTTTGGAGGTCTCTGTGACCTAATTATTGAATATAATAATTAATTTTTATAATTAAATTAATTTTAATACCAAACACTTGACATACTTTATGTAAATTTATAACACATTATATTATATTAAATAATAAACAATCGTTTTGTTTACAAATTAGTGAAAAACACGTGAAACTCATTGTCAGTGCTTTTTTGAGGTACAGTTCGGTCTCAAAGATGGCCACAAACGACACGACGGGTGCGTCCAACTCGTCGACAACCGATGAGACGGTTGGTAGTGATGTCCGAAAACCTGTTTGTGTAATAATATTAGGAATGGCCGGAAGCGGTAAATCAACACTTTGTGGTCGCGTCGGTCAACATTTATTTATGAAGAAGTCTGTCCCTTATGTTATCAACTGTGATCCGGCTGTCCTTAAGACACCATTTCCAGCAAATATAGACATTAGAGATACTGTCAATTATAAGGAAGTGATGAAAAAATACAATTTGGGACCAAATGGAGCCATCATTACATGTCTTAATTTGTTTGCCACACAATTAGATCAAGTGATCCAATTGATTGACAAAAGAGCTGATAATTATGAGTTAGTATATGAATGAAATGATTGAATCAATTGATTGACACATTTGTCTCGTTTGATGTCCAGATATGTCTTGTTTGACACTCCGGGACAGATTGAAGTGTTCACGTGGTCCGCATCGGGTGCTATAATGACAGAAGCTTTAGCCTCACGGTATCCAACTGTGATTGTGTATGTGATGGACACAATCCGCAGTGAAAATCCTGTGACATTCATGTCCAACATGTTGTACGCCTGTTCTGTGGTTTATAAATACAAATTACCGATAATTATTGCAATGAATAAATGCGATGCCATTGACTGCAAGTTTGCAATGGATTGGATGCGCGATTGGCAGTTGTTTGAGTCGGCCATCGAAAAGGAGACATCTTATATGGCAAACCTAACCAGATCTATGTCTTTGGTTTTGGACACGTTTTATGAAAATTTGACGGCAGTCGGCGTTTCGGCCACAACTGGACAAGGAATGGATGATTTGATTAATGCCATCAAAGCAGCGGCCGTTGAATATGAAAATGATTACCGACCCGAATATGAGAGGATTAAACGGGAGGCACAAATGGCCAGAAGTAAAGAACGAGAAAAACAATTATTAAAAGTGAAACAAAAGGGAACGACAGAAAAGGAGGAACTAATGACTTTTGGTGACCCGTCGGCCACTGCATATCGGGAACGACGTGATGATGAAGATAGTGATGACGATTCTGATCATAATTGTGACCTCAATGATGAAGAAGAAGGTAATGAATGACATATTTGAAAACTATTTTTCATTTGGCTTACTTTACCGCTATTTTTTCAATTACTTATTTTTATACACAATTTTAAACAAATATATTTCATACCAAAGACAGTATATTAATGCTTCAAATTAAAATATTTTATGATTTTTACTTATTGTAATTTATCGTAATTAATTTTACAGTATAATTATAATTTAAGTATATTGTAGATTATTATTATTAACTACGATAATAATTATTTCAAATTAACAATTTTTATTTATTTTTTAATTATTTTAGACGAAGAAGAGAAACGGGAATATAAAGAATTTAAGAAGACTTTTGTTTCATGAAATTGAAAACAATTATATATATATATATATATATATATATACTGCATATTTATATAAATTATAATAAATATTAAAAGTTATATCATTTTTTATTATAATTTAAATATAAATAACATGATTCTATTGTATAACCATTTCAATTAAATTTGTATTTATAATCACATTTACGATATATTGTATTCAACAAAATCTACATTTAAGATATTTGTAAAACAGATTAAAATATTTATATAAAATATTTCTATAACTTGAAGTAAAATATCTACAAATTAAATTAGTTTTATATGAAATTAAAAGCATTATTTTTATCAAACATTCATTAAATTGTGTTGTGTTTACTATTGATACAGTATTTTTTGTAATATTTATAGTAGTATTTAAGAGCATAATATTTAGATATTTGCATTGTTTTTTTTAAATATTAAACACTTACCGATAAATTAAAAAAGTATAGGTTTATTGAAATTAACCCAAAAATAGTTAATTTGCAGATAATAAATATTTTTTTAATTTATTATATAATTATAATTAAATACTGGGAAAAATTTTCATTGCATTTCTTTTAAATATAAATAATTAATATAAAATAATAACATTAATTTGTTTTATTAATGCAAAATTTTATTTTTAAATATCAGAAAATTGAAAAATGACAAAACCTCCTTTTTACAAATTTAAACTTCACTTTTATTTTCAATTAATTTATGTGAAAACACAATATTAAATAAATATAAATTTGCCTCAACTCTAACTACAAGTTTAACGTAAACGTATTTATAGTATTAAAAGTTTTAATTAATATAAAGCTAACATAAACTGTAAATAATAAATGATAAAATATGATAATTTGTTTAATAAACTACTACAGTATATACTTTATATTATAAAAGTGATACTGTTATCTCATAAAAGTCAATAATTGAATAAAAAAAATTAAATAAAACTTTATACGGAATTTCAGACTTATTATGTTTGAGTGCATCAATCAATCAATCATTTAATAACAACGTGTTTTGTAAATATTTATTTTATGTTTATTTATAAATAAATTTAAATTTTTTTAAAAACTAGTTTTTGTTATAAACATTAAGGCTTTTATTTGGAATACAAATATTGTTTTATAACTTTTATATAAAATTAATGCATATTTACTGTAATTTTCAATTTTTTATTACAATTTATTAAGTGATCTTATAATAAGTCAAAATATCAATTGATTTTTTATTAATTGTATGTTAAGTGAGAGATATAATTGTTATGAACATTGACTGCAAATAATAAATGTATTTATGATAACAATTGTTAAATTTAATTGAATTGATAATCTAAGCCAACAAATGATTGCCATAAAAATAGTGTAATAATTACTAGAAAATTATTGATATCATATAAAACTCAATATTATCTTCAATTGTTGTGTGTCCTCGACTATGGAGGAATCGGTACTCAAGAATGAGGACAATGATGAACAGTCACGACTAATGTGTCGGATATGTCTGGAAAGCGATTCCTTGTCTCGATTGATGTCTCCGTGTGATTGCAAGGGAACGGCACAGTATGTGCACCGATATTGTCATAAGCGATGGCTTAACACACGGCGAAGTAACCGACGGTCAAAGTGTGAAATATGTAAATCATATTACGTTTATGAGTACCGAAATGATTCACAACGTTTGGTAGCTTTTATTGTCGGCTATTGGCACACATTTAAGGACTTTGTATTGAATGCAAACTTACAATTGTTTGCAATGATATTAAGCCTAGTTTTATGTCTATTGACTGTAAATATGTATTATTTATTGTTAACGGGTTCTCTTGAAGTGACTATACATTCGGCACAATTACCAGATATGGATCTCTTAATTTGGCACAAATCAGACGCTTATTCAATAGTATGTGTGGACCGGGACTGTGATTGTGAGACAGACATCCATAATGACAACAACAATCCGAATTGGAATCACGAGTGTCTGAACTGGAAGAATAAGTCGGTGTCAATCTTAAGTCGAATGACTTTTCTTGTCTATGATGCAGATCACGGACACGACGATGACTTTATCGGTGGAGTCAGTCTTTCAATATATCAAATGCTATTCTATGGTTATAATGGCAAAGATGTGATCCTTAAATGGGATGAACCGTATGCCGGAAGTCTCGCCATTAGAATGAATTGGTGGCCAAAAATGTTTAAATTATTAGACTTTTTAATTATATAATTTACTTTTATATCTAATTTATGATTTAAATATTACATTTGAATTATTAAAAAAAATTAAATAAATGCTTAATATTTAACAAGACTTTTAAATGATTTAAAAATATTTTATGTATTGATTTGTTTGTTCCAGAAGTCATCGCAGGTATGTCTGTAGGCGTTATCAACTATTTTATAGTTGTTTGGATTGAGTGTCATATACCTGACCGATGCCTTTGCGTGGTTTCTATCAATAGCTTCGGGCCAATCAATACCATTGACTTTTGGCGGTACACTAATAATTATATTCAATATATGGTTTTAAACTAAAATAACCGATAGTATTGTATAAATTGTAAAGTATACCCAGTTTTGGCAAAAGTGGTCCAAATATTAATGAAAGTATGACTCAGATGTTTAACGTCATCGCTATAATGATTTGAATTTCTTAGTGGACCTCCAAATACATATTGTATATCATCTCCGTGTTGTACTCCTGTCCAGTCGTGTCTCGTACTGAATGTTAATTTATATGAATATGCTTTACCAGATAAGACCATTTTACTACCAAAGCTGATAGTAGGACACGTCAATTGGTAATCACCGAAAGAGTTGGCCACTGCTTTCTTTAACATTACACCGTCGCTATCTTTGAGACCTTTTGTATAAAAGTCTGCAACTTTTTTGATATTTGATACCTTCATTACACTAAAAATTAATTGTATAAATAATTTGGATTTCGAGACAGTCATAGAGTTATTAGGACTGTCGGGCAGCATATCTTGAAATCCAAGATCAGACACAAATCCCGATCCCTCATCACTACACGTCCCAAACAATAGGTCAACATTTTTCCTATTAATGTAAAAGTAATAAAATTATTTTTAGCTCTGATATAATAATTCATAGTGTAATCTAATTATTTGTATATTAGATGTTTTTATATAAGATTTTATGTATCAATTAATAATCATTTAAGAAAAATCTATAACAAAAATATGTTAACTTGAAGTCTCCTCTTTTAAGTGCTATTTCTGGTTTTAATGGCAAGAATTGGTCGCCAAAAATTGGAGTAAAAAATTGATTGTTATATCGCATTGTATCACAAATGTTAACAATTTGTTTGACATCAATACTTCTGAGACACGAAATGTTTATTTTATTACTGCTGTTATCAAAACAATTGAATTTTGTGGCAAAATCTTGTGCTTTGATAAGAGCCGACTCTTTCGGTTCACTTCCCAAATACGAATTAACTGATCCACTTTGCATTATAGTCCTATTGAATAGATTGCGACCATTTTTAATCAACATTAGAGCCGACACAGCCATACTTCCGGCACTTTCACCAAATATCGTCACTGAGTTTGGATCGCCGCCAAAGAACTCAATATTTTTTTGAATAAATTGAAGACTTATTAAATAGTCACTAAACGCTTGATTTCCCGGAGCTTCTTCTGTGCCGTCGTATAGAAATCCTAATGCAGACAACCTATAGCCGACTTCAACCACAATGACATCACCCAAAGCGGACAGGTATGTGGCATTGAACTGATCGTATGATATGGATCCAGTTATGAATGATCCGCCGTGAATCCAATACATTACACTCTTTTTCATATATTTGGTATTATTTGTGAATGTATTATGTGGTACATAGATGTTGAGGAACAGACAATCTTCGCTGATATTGTCCTCTTTTGGCTGAACACATGACGGCCGAGCTATAGATTATTTGATTAAAATTTAAATAAAATATAATTATTAAAAACTATATATTTTAGTAAAATATTTGTTTTTACGATAAGTCGCGTCCCAAACACCCGACCATTTGTCTAAAGCAACGGCCCGTCTGAACCTGAGATTACCGATCGGTGGCTTTGCGTAAGGAATTCCTTGAAATAATGAAATGCTTTGGTTTTTTTCGGACACAAATATTTCTCTACCCTTAAGTGGACCTAAATTTGTAGTTACAATCACTGAGATAACTAAAAAATTACATAATAATTGTGAAAATATAATAATTGATAATAAAATATTCATTTTTGTCATTAAATACAAATTCATTTTTTGTTAGATTTTTTATTTTGTAAAACTGCTTTATATACAAAAAAAAATGTTTAACTAATCAATAGATCCATAATCTAACAAAATAATGATTGAATAATATTGTGAAAGAGAATTAAAAAGGATTATATAGATTATTATTTATTATTTTGACCTCAGGTTAAGGTTAAAGTATCAAATTATAAACTCAACTGCATTTTACATTAATATTAATTTAATACAAATATAATTTTATACAATGATAACTCATAGCTAAAGATTGTCTCTATAGTGTCAAAATAGTAATTTATTGTACATGGACATTTTTGGGAAATTAGATTACATGTAAACATTTTGTGATTTTAATTTTATTATATTAAATTAAAAACTATATATAAATCAATAATTAAGCAATTTTTGTATGGATTGTTTTGTTCATTATATTGTCACGAGTGATGATTATATGTATTTGTTAAGCTTTTTATGATTAATAGTATTTATAGATTTGATAACTAAATTAAATATTTTTGTTGTATTATTCTTGTAAATGATAACAATACTTATTTCCTTATTATTTTATAATAAAACTTTACAGTAATTTATATGCATTAATATGAAATTCTATACAATATAATAATTAGAGACATCAAAATATGTAATGAATATTTCAAAAATATATTTTTGTAAAAAGTATATATGTTTTATCATATAATTCATTGAAATTTTATTGACATTATTTGAATAATTTATATATATATATATTTAATAAATTCATTACTTTTGCATTAAAAATCAATCATTTAAACACTTTTTAATTATTTATTTTTTGTATAAAAGTACAATTTTTCATTAAAAAATGTAAAAATATGTGGAAATAATCTTAAATGTGTTTATTTTAAGAATATGTGAAAATATTATTTTGTGTAAAACTTTTATAACTCACTTTTTATTACAATTTGTGACATTTGTTTAACCGATTTTTGTCTTCGGCCTTAATTGCGGACAATTTATATCAATATTGTTTCGGACAGTAATTATCTCAGTCCTTCATCAGCGCACTGCTGTACAACACTGATAGCACTGTTGGTCTTTAGGTTTATATGGTTTGAGAGAGTGACCAAAAATATGATAATTGATACCATGTTTTGTGCCATAAAAGTGTTTTTTGTCTAGTATTTAGACTTAAGTTATATATGTTATAAATTAAATACTATACATAAATTGGATATGAATTTAGTATTGAAGATAATTACTGACTGAAAAAATATTCCAATAAATTGTTCGCAATTTCATCGCAACAAATATGTGTTTCATATATTTCGATGGATCTAATAATAATCAAATCAAATATTTAATTATTAATATTTACTTTAAAAATCATAATAATTTTTATACTATATCTATACAAATAATAAATATATAAAACTTAACGGTTTGCTTAAAAACATATAACAAATGATAAATTTAACAAATTATTGAACTTTATTCATAAAATCTATTATAAATAGACATTAATTGATAAATATTAGTACTTTTAGAGTATATTGAATATTATTGACAGAATTCTGGGACAAGTTATTTACAAAATAAATATAAAGTAATATTCATTATATTTTTTTAATTAAATATTTATAAACATGTAATCCAAATAATGATTGCAGTAATCAATAAACTTTAACATAAAAAATGACTAAATATAGTTAATTACTGTATGCTTAAATTATTTATGTCTCAATTTGCATTTTATGAAATTTTATATTTATATAAAGCACACTCCATAAGTACTATACAAATAATACAGTAATTCATTGATAAAACAATGAATATTTTAATATTTCAATTTCAAAGGACAATTGAATTTTATGTATTTGATCTCTAAATTAAAGCATTCAAATGCTTGAAAATAATGTTAAAAACAATACTATACTATTATACATGTCCTCTCAATTTATTTTCACTTTAGTGAACATTTTATTATTACAGATAAAAGTTTATTTTAATTATAACATCTTTTAGTTTGTTTTATTATTTTTACTTTATATAAGTGCTATTTCAATGAAATGTTTATTTTGTTTGTTAAATGACTCAAATATCAATTGCTATTATAGTGGTCTCTCATATGCATACAATTGTTTGCATTGACATTAAAGTGGTTTTAAAAGGATGCTTCAGTCGATAGAAAACAATTTTGTTATAATATAAAAATAATAATAAAAGAAATGCAAAAATATGATTAAAAAATGATGAAAAAAGTGGTCAGTTTTTCATTTATCACATTATATGACAGCACTGTTGACTACAAATCATTGGCCGAAACTTTTGACTGAACTCCTGTTGTCTTCTTTTCAAGAGTTGGTTTTGATTCTCTAATTCACAACAAAGAGTTTGAAGACTAAGAATTGTGTTTTGTTTTTCTTGTAATTTTTGTCTTAATTTATTGATTTCTTGATGACAGTCACAGGATTGCGGACATATAAAAGTGTTATCATTGATGCCGATTGTGTCACCAATTGAACTAAGGTTTTGCAATTCAATGAAAGTATTGTTTGTCTGGTCGTCCATCTCTTGGAGAATCCATTCGGGAATCTATTATTTAGTTTTTTCAATTTATAAAAACAATATAATTAAATGATTTTATTGAGTATTACTCAAATATAAAAAATATTATTAATTAATTATCTACATATAACATAAATTTATTTACTGTATATATATATATAAATTATCTATTAATACAGTATATTACATGTATAGTATATCATATTAGTTAAAAGAGTTTACTTTTGATATGTGCGGTACATTAAGTAATTTCACTGATATATAATCCAAAGTATAATTTATGTCAAAAACCCCATAAGTAATGGGTCTATTAAAACGATTTCTAGATATAATGTAAGTCTACTTTAGTCTACATGATATAGATATCATCAAATTAAATAAAATGATTTTATTTCATCAATTTTTTTTGTGGATATATTTTGTGAGATTCCTATGTTGCTTAATTTACTTTATACATTAATACTAAAAATATTTTTTTTTGGTTTTTTCAAATTGAAAATTAATTCTAACTAAACTAAGCATACTAAATTTAATCGAAAAAAAGATTTAAAATAACTTCAATAATAATAATAATTTGAAATTTTACTTTCTCTATCATTGAATTGGAGTAATTTTATTAAATTACATTCAAAATAAATATATAAATAGTACATAATATTTATTCTCAATTTATTGTTATAAAAAGGAAAATTTAAAAATCGATAACTTAACCAAAATATTGTAAATTTTTAAATTTCAAAAAAATAATTTCAAATATTTGTAACACAAAATATATTGAATATCATATGATTATATAAAATAAAAACAAAATATTACATTTTGGCTGAGATATGTCAATGAATTACTATTTTCTCTAGTATTTGTGTCTTTAATTGTTAGGTTGTCTTCCTCTGGAACTGTTGACAAAACTGGTGTTTGTTCTATAGATTCATAATTATCTTCATTTAATGGAATAGTTGTGTCAATAACAACATAAACCGTGTCATCTAAATGTAAAAACATATTTATTTGAATAAATAACATTACTATACTAATAAAATATTTAATATGTATATAATGATATCATAAGTTAATAAATAAATTTATATTGATTTTCATAATGTATACATGTTTTGAATATTTGTAAGCAATTTTAATAATAAATAAATAATAACCTAAAAATACATATAGATTGGCCAGTCCTACAACCTCTCCCTGATAGAGATGAACTGGTGATGAATATAATGATATAATAGGCTGTGGCTTAAGTATAATGGCTTTATTCGTTAGATTCAATAGTGAAAGATCGTGAAGATTATCAATTATTATCTTTGGATCACGTATTTGGACAATAGGGTGATCCGGACCAACAATCTCTACCACATTCATCAACGATTGATTACATTCTCCTATTATTACAACAAAATATCTTAGTTATTAAATACTAAGTTTCCTAAAATTCTAATTAAATAATTTTTTATCCAAAAAAAAGTTTAAATATATTTTAATATAAAATATTTTCTAATAATTATCAGAGATTTTATACAAGTAATTTAGCTATAAAATTATCTAATCTAAAATTTACAATTGAACTGAGTTTATTTGTAATAATAATTCAAAAAATGTATGTTTGTTAATAGTTAATAATTAAAATATCAATTAATATAAGATAAATAAGGTATGTACAGTAGTATACTCTATTGTACTATTATACAGTAGTTTATACTGTATTACAATTTAATAATAATACTGTAGAGTTGTGTTATCACAATTAACTAAAATTATATTTGATTTTATAATAATTTGACTTAACTAACATAGTTTTGGAGATATTAGGATTATATTGATTATGGTTAGTGTTATTTTATCTCTAGAGAATCACTGGCTTTAATACATTAAATAATATAAAATTATTATGTTTGACTATACTTTAATTTTGTTAAACTTAAAACTATAATACAGTACAAATTAGTAACAACAATATTATGTAAAATTACTACTAGTGATGTAAAATTCAGCTGTTTTTAAACCAAATATTCAATTAATTTCGAAATTTCTAAAATTTTATAGTTTATATATATAGCATAATTTATATTATAATATTCAATATCTAATAAATAATATGCTACAGTGTATCGTATATAATAACTAACGTTAGTTTATACAATATTAATTTTATACCACTGCTGTTATTAATACAGTTATGTTTTATATAATACAATACTTTATAAAACAGTATAATACATAACATACACATTACAAACATAAACAGTAATTAATTAATTTTGAGCTTTAATTTATATTTGTCTGACAGCGTTAATAGTTAACAAAATATACATTTTTGTCTTTTTAATACAATTTTCTTACGGTTAGTACAGTATATTTGAAATATTGTGTGTTTGAGTGCATAATAAATGAATATAAATGACATTTGTATGACTATAATAATGTACTGTATTATACCTATAGTAGTGTACTATAGATGTATTCAATGGTCAACTAATAAAAAATTCATTTATATATAGATTATATAATGCTTTTGTCGCAAATGCTTTTATACTGTATTTATAAAATTAAATGAAAAGTTATCTGTTTTTTGTCACTCATGTGTTTATTTTTAATTTCAAAATTATTTCATTAAACTTAAACATTTAAAAACTTAATATAATAACAAAAGTCTCCAAAAAACAGACCTAATTTTATTGTATCAGATGTCAAGTGATTCTCTGATTTTTCAATATCTTTAAAACAAAAGACAAATAAAATATAAAAACAATTTTAATCATAAATTTATTATAAAAATTGTTAATAAAATGAATAAATGAATTATAATACTTAACCAATTGTTGGCAATGGATTGACAGGTCGTGCGCCCCAAAAGTAAATAACATTTTCGGCATTGGAGGCCACCATAAATGCCGAACCCGTTTGCACTCTCTAATTGATTGGTCACAATTGAATGGTTCGGTTATCATTCAACAAATAAAATATGATTTTTAACTAACAATTATAGTTTGTTGTGATAATTGGTTAACGACACTGGCTTTATGCGATGGCCTCACATGACCTAAACCTAACTGTGCGTCACTATTAAGTCCACAAGTGATCACTTGTCCATCTTCTACAACAAGTGCTGAGTTCGTCAAACTCAATGATACTGAGAGTACTCTTTGTTTAATCCATTTTAATTTAAATGGAGACCACATTTGACTAACTTTAATGGTCTTAAAATAATGTTTTTCATTAAATCCCAGTTTATTATATGAGTTATTGCCAGACATCCACACAAATCCCTTGTCGTCAATAAAGGCTGTGGCGTCGGGACCACAGAAAACATTTTTTATACAAACGTCTTCATAAAATACAACACCAGTGGGTATATCGACAAAGTTGTTGTGCAAATTGACACCAAGTCTGCCATCAATATTATATCCCCACGAATATGCCTTTCCATCTCCGGTCACAATTGACACATGATTTGTACCGCAACTGACAGTCGAAACATCAGCGCTAAGCAATGTGTCGACCAATTTAGGTGTAAAAGAGGGCACCGTTTCGTTTCTACCCAAACATCGGTTTTGATTATCACCACAAGTCATAACTAAACCGTTTTTGCTGATGAAGACACTAAAGCCATCGCCGGCACAAATGCGGACTATATTGCGGTTACGCAATGATTCAATACATTCTGGTTTTGATGAGAAACGAATCGATTCACCCAAACCTAACTGGCCTTTGGATCCGTTACCCCATGAATATACAACAGAGTTATAAGTCAGAGCTAAAAAATGTGTCAAACTTTTGCTTATCTATTTTTAAATAACAAATAATATTAATTAAATGTTTATAAATGTTGTCTGTATTAATTAACTTAAAATACTGTATATCAAAATTAAATGTAATAAAACATCTAATAATATTACTATCAAATGTTATTTAAAATAATAATATAAAACCTCTTTGATTCTGATTTTAGGGGGTAATAATAGTGGTGACAATTTGATATGTGGTTCCCCAATAAGCACCTCATATACAGTCGATCGGGGATATTGTAATGAACTATTGTTTTCAAGTCATAAATATTATATTTATATAATATTAGTCAATACATTAGTCTATAAAACAATACCTACTATTTTGGATCAAAATACCAGACGTGATGACTGAAGTCGGCATTTCTTGATATTGAGACCACATCTGAATCCTATCCAACTGTAACTTATTTAGCTGACCGACCAGTGTGTCCAACACTTGCTGTGCGGTCGGTCTCATATTGGGATCCCTGTGCAGCAACTCATTGATTAAATTACGAAACTTTGCTGAATAGTTACGTCTGATGGGAGCAAACTGACCCTAAATTATAATATAATATGTTTTATTCAATCAAATATAAAAATCATTTATCAATTATTTAACAATATTATATAATATTAAACAGCAGCAATATTATCCAACTCATGTACAATAAAAATATTGCATCTATACCTTAACTATTTTATTAATGAGGACAGGGAGGTTAGATCCCTCAAATGTTTTGTGTAAACACGCCATTTCATAGAGAACACAACCCAAGGCCCATATATCCGATTTCTGATTATAATTCTTGCCCTCACACTGTATGGCGACAAACATTTTAGTAATAAAAATAATTTTAATATCAATTAATTGACTAATTATTTTAACATTGATTACAATTTCAGGACTGATATAATAAGGCGTTCCGACTACTGATTCGGCCTCACGTTTAGTGGTCAACATCTTTGAAATACCAAAGTCTCCGACTTTAATATATCCTTCTTTGTTAAGAAAAATATTAGCCGTTTTGATATCTCTGTGTAATATATTATTTTGATGCAAATAATTGATTGCACAAACAATTTGTCTAAATATGAGAAGTATTTCGTATTCATGTAAGGGTTGGTTGAGTTGTGCCAATAGCTCGGCCAGAGTGCCGGCGTCCGCGTACTCCATCTCTATATACAGATTACCATTACTTTCAAAACTGTCGAAATAACTAATAATGTTTGGATTGTTTAATATTGACAACACTTTTACTTCATTGATCGCTAACTGTCTTTCGGTGGCATTCAAGTCATTCATATTAATCTCTTTGAGCACAACTAGCATATCATCCGATCGTTTCCTGTAGAGGACAGCCGTTCCGAACGCACCTTTCAATTGCAGTCATCGCTAATCATTAATTTGATTTATATTTTTATAATAGATTTATGTTTGATTATTGAAAATAAATCATAATTTCTTTAGATTTTGTTTTTTATATTTATAAATAACTATTAAACATTGTGATATAATATAATATAACTTAATATCTATATATTTTTAACATTAATATTAATAATAAAAACATAAAAATTGACATTATTTTTCACTAATTAAGCTTAAAAATTTGTATTTTCCATTAAAATGTAAATTTATTTTTGTAGTTAAAAAATAAAACAATACTAATTATTATATAGTTAACAGCACTAACAAAGTTAAAAATGATAATTAAAACAAATGTAATTATAGTAATACTTGTTGTATACAATTATATGTGAGACAATGTGAGACATACATACCTTTACCAACAAATCTAATCCTTTCATAGTTATCCCAATTGAGTTGTTTAAGGAAATGTCGACTTCTATTAAGTCTCTCTTCCCTTAAGATCTCGATTGAAGCCGAAGTGTCAGCAAATCGCAGTCCTTTTGATACTTTTATATCACTCATTGTTTTTTACTTTTGTTTTTAATTTAATTTTCATTTATTTCACTGACTATTCTAAAACTTTTATAGTATCAATGATAGCTATTATAATATATACATACAATATATATATATATATTTATATAATTATATATTAATGATTTTCTGTTTTCTTTTGTATATTTTCTCTATTTTTAGTGAAACACATTTCACTCTTAGCAGGAGTTCTGACAAACACTGGGTTTTCAATTATTATTGTCTTCTAAAGCGATTAGATTGAAGTTTTGTGTGTCAGATAAGATTAGTCACTAATATTATGTACGGTATGTCTCTCTTATCGTTGTTTTACTCTACACTTAACTATTTTTTATATAAAATATAAATAGACTATTATATTATAGTCACCAAATACCCAGATTTGCTTTAGCAATAAAATATAACAATATGTCCCTGACTAAATCACAAAATTAATTTTAATATATACACATATATTTCAACAATAAATGTTAATTGTTTTTATATAATATTCTTACAAATTTATAATATAACTAAAACTATTATATATTTACTGTATTTTGCCATTATAGCATATAACAACATTTACATTGTAATAAAGATTTTAGCTTATTTTGAATTTGATTTATAAGTAAATACTATATATAGTTTTTACTACTAATTAATTCATTTATTTAACAAAAAATGCTATTATTGTCGCAATAGTTTGCAAATATTAATGTTTTTGCACTTTAATTAAATACAATAAATACTGTATTGTGAGTAAATGCTTTTTATGTTATTATTGAATATCATTATATTAAAAGCACCGTTGCGTTGATCACCCCTTACCTGTGATTATCACTTCATGTGTGACATTAAATGCTTTAATAGCCATTGATTAATAGCATATATTTAAAAATATATATATAGTATATTTATAAAATACACTTTAAAAATAATTTTATATCCAATATTTTTAAAATACTTAATTTTAATTTTTGATATATAAATACTATATTAATCTTAAAGTATCTCATTTGAGACATAAACAATATTTAGTATTTTATAACAAAATAAAAACGATAAAAGTTTACAAAAATTTTGTACATAGTTTAGCAAACAAGTATATAAAGCATAGAAATAAACTCTTTATTTTTTGAAAATAAATTTTTTAAATAATAAATGATTTATATTGAATAGTTAAATGACAAAATTGTTATGAATTTTTATTTTATGAAAATTCAAATATAATAATATTTGATATAAACAAAACTAAGCCTTATTTGTTAAAATTATATTCATTAATTGATTTAATAGTATTGTTAGATAGATATGACTGTTTGAATGGATTGATTTTGTGGTGAATATGTATAATCTTCTTGTCTTTTATCGGCCAAACAAACATTTTATCAAATTTATTATAATCACTGTTCAAATAAAATTTAATATACATTTAATATACAGTATATGTTATTTTATTATATTATTTTAGACTAATTTAAAATAATTTTTTATTATTAAAAATGACATTTTCTAACCAATGTGTTAATTAGTATACACTGTAATTATCTATAATAAAAATTGAAAACACTACTAATCAAAAACAAATTATGTAAATTTTGATATCAAAATTTTATGTCAAGACTAACACTTATGTTATTACTAAATTAAATTTAAATATCATAAAAAATGTTTTAAGTAAATAATTTATGTTATTGTATAAACAATTCTGTAATAAATAAATGTATTATTAATAAAATATATAAATTAAAAAAACAATGAATTTGACATATTAAACTTTAAATGAAAAACATTTTAATTACATTAATGTTAAATAATTAATTTCTCAGATGTTTCAATATAATTACAAATTGATTTATTATAACAAACAGATATATAATTTATTTGATTTTTAAATTTCATTGCCTATTCACTAAAGTAATGTTTATTAATAATTTATTACTGTGTTTACAACTTTTAAATTTTTCACGAACTACTTAAAAAAGTCTGAATTTATTGTCTTTTTATCTGTCTGTCAGTCTTTTATAAATTTTAAAATTTTGACTATAATTCAGATAGAAGTTAAAAAAGTAAAATCTGAATCTCTGAAAACAACTTATTAGAAAATAATATTATGTTTTAATATACATTTTAAATATATAAAATAAATATATAAAATTGTTCAGGTTGAAAATAAAAAAAACTAAATTAAAATTTTAATGTAATTATAGCATTTAAATATATATAAAAAATATACAGGAATGTAATATTTAATATACAGGAAAATACATATGAGATTCTTATTTATAAAATTAATATAATTATAGTTTTCATAAAATTTTTATTTATAATTAATTTATATTTTTAGTTTAATGTTATTATGTTTTGAGTTAAATGAATTATTTTTTACTTTAAATATTAATTAAAATAATAATAATAAAATTTAGTTAATATTTATAGTTATAATGAATTTCAAAATAACAAATATCGAGAAAACAAAATTAATATGAGAATCTCATAGACAGAAATTTATATTAGAAACTTTCCACAAATTTCTTTATTATTTTAGAAATTTCTGTTTTTTGCCAACTCTAGACATAATATTAATTTTAAATTTTATAACATTTATAATTATGTTTATTTGATATTATTTTGAGACACTTAACCTTCCCTTTTGCCATATGACCCGTTAGGCCATCTGACCCCCTATCAGGTCAGCTGATTCTTTGGACAACTGAACATCAATTTATGGCATAATTATAATAATGAATTAAATATTATTTTTAAATAAATAAAATATTCAAATCAAAAGTTAATCGGCAATACTAAACAACTGATTTATACTCTATTGATATAATTGAAATATTTTACATTTTAATATATTATTTAAATATATTTAGTTTATTAATTAAGTTATCACAATATTTTAATTATTTTCTATTTTGATTGTAGTTATAATTCAAATAAACAAATAAAAATATTTTCTTTATATTATTTCATCAATTTTTGTTTGAAAAATTTATGTGTTATACAATCTTCTGTAATAATGATAAAATTATACAAAAATTTTATATAAATTTTATATTCATACATTATTATATGTAAGTAATTCAAAATATGCAGATTTTATAAAAATAAATTGCGTGATTTTTCAAATATAGTTTTCGATATAATAATTGTAATTAAAGCAATAGTACTATAATTTATAATAATAAACTCAAATGAGAGACAAACCCTTATTTAGTAGTAATGCATATTAATAACTATTCATAAATCAAACAGCATTTCAAATAATATCAATTGACATAATTAAAATGAGAATAAAAATATTTATTTATTAATTACTATAATATTTAATGAAAATTTAATTACATTAAAATTTGATTATTTACAATTATTTAAAATTACATTTTTATATACCTATATCTATTTTTGTAAAATATGTATACTACAATATATTAAATATATAATTATGTATGAACAAAAAAATAAGCAACAGTAAAGTGTTATTAAAATTACTAATATTAAAAATTTATAAAATATTTATTATAACGTTTAATTTTAAAATATTGTTATTAATATTTTATTTATTTTGATTTTAAATATAAGTAACTATATATTATATACAATAAATATAAAAATATTTATATTTATGCAAATTTAATTATTTTAAACAATTAATAAGAATTATTTATTTATTATTTTATAATTTGTAATATTTTTAAAAATAAAATTTTAATAGATTTATAACTTTATAACTTTTAATTATTTTTATAACTATTGTTTAAGAAAAATTGGATATAATGTTAAAGATTTTCTTTTAGTTTGTGGTCTAAAGGGTTTATTTGAAATGTATTTGTTTGAATTGCTTTGGATATTATGATAATGTGGTGTTTGTGACGGATATCTGTTTGCACTGAACGGACAGTTTTGCTTCTTAACAGGTGTTGACTCAACTGGAGGTGTATAATGTGTTGGCACAGATAGGGCTTGTGGTACGGGAGGAGGACTAACAATGTTAAATAAATCATAAATTTATTAAATTGAAAATATTTTTAAATTATTTTATTTATTTTTAATAAAAATATGTCACAAGATTTGTGACATATATTGAATAAAACATTATTTAATTGAATTTAATTTTAAGTAATATAAATATAATGTATACTAAAAAAAATCAAAAACCTTAATTTTTTTCTATTTTAAAATTTCTATTATTCTTCAATAAATTGTTATAAAATATGTGGTATATAAGGCTTTAAATATACATTAAATGTATTTTTTAAAAATGTCAAGTCCACAAATTTAAACATTTATTAGAGTATTTTACATTTACATTGGGATATATAATATTATTATTATCTTCTATTATTAACATTTTCTATTTTCAAATAAATAGATACAAAAATAATGGGTTTAAAGTCACAAAGTCTATAAATTTTAGATTAGTTTAGTTGATAATAGATTCAATAAATCCCTTTAATTTCCTCTAAATTTTGAAAAAATAAAATTCTAACATAATTTTTAACATAATTTTTCTATAATAATAGATTTAATTTTTATAATATAGATTATTATCAAAGTAAAAATATACTAATAAAATTATTTATTTTAAAAATTGTTTTATAGCATATTAATAATATATATTTAATAAAACACTTACAAATATTGTCCATTATTGGGATTATTCCTTTCATAGTATTGTTTGCCAAATAATATGCCAAAAATGAATCCTTCGATAAATTTTTTTCCGATTAATAATTTTAATAAACTTTCTGTTGTCTGGATTAATGTAAATCCTATAAAAATTGAAATAAATAATAGTAAAGATTTTTTACTTTTAGTTTTCAATGCCATTGAATTGACTTAATAATTGCAAAATTATAAAGATTTTCATCCAAACAAATATTTCAATTTTATTTTAGATATTTATTTGAAAATATTCATTAAACTAACGCCACTAAAGAAGTTATTTATCAATTGTAACTAATAAAGCGTTAAAATTTTGAAAGTATTTAGATATAGATTTGATAATTATTTTAATAATAAAATTAGGTTATTTTGTTTTTACATAATATAAATTATATTAAAACTATTAAATTGATTGAAACGTTTCTATATTTAACAAAAAGCAAATTTAAATTGCTATAATTAAAAAATGAAATTACTTGAAATGTATGCTAAGTTCTCTATATATTTAATTAAAAGAGTAGTTTTGTATAATAAATAAAAATAATTTATTTATAACACCATTAAGTGACTTACGGTTGACTGGATGTGATTGTAATGAAATTTTTTTGTTGATGTCTTCATATCAATACAAATTTATACTGTATATAGCGTTGACACATAAAAAGGTGCAAATTATAAATCTAATTAATTGTATTTATTAGACTTCATTGACATTCAGATCATTTCGTTTGTGATTTGTTTGGTATAGAAAACAAATAGCAATTAAAGTTCTTAAAGCGGTTAATGAGAGTTGTATTAAATTCATAGAAAATGCCAAAAATAGGAAGTATTGAAGTGATAATATGGTTCCATAGATAAGCACTATTGAAAAACTTTCCCGATATAAGCCATAAATACCTAATAGACTTAATATTATATCAAAAATTGTTAACTCAATCATCAATGCACTCAAATCCGTATAAATGCCGTTACTTTCGTGCCATTGTTTAACTGTCCTTTTCATTAACGTTAACACTATAATGATTTCAAGCGATGCAATCAATGCAAATACATTGAGCACTATCTGAATGTATCGTATAATATATATAACCGGAGAACTTCTTAATAAAGTACTACACATCACATCAATCACTAATTGACTCTTTATTTCACTATATTTTACTAACAACTCATTTATTAATCAACAATCAAACACAAACAAGCAATAGATTTATTATTTTTATTATCACTTCACTACTACTACAAAACAACTTGTATTTTATTATATTATCTAACTTTCCATTCTTTCACTTTGTTTTAGTTAAACATCAACTCAAAAGCTAATAAAATAACGATATATTGTATGAGAGAGAGATTTGTGAATCACAACTAAGCAAAATATCATGTATGGAAAGGGAGAGAAAGTGAGAGCACTGGTAGGTGAACACAAATACACAAACTCTAACACTATGTCTGTGACGGCTATACTTTAGTTTAGTATAAGTGATGGGATAGTACTGTACTGTATATAGTTTTAAATGAAACTGGAGGCTGACGTAAAATCAAATAAATCGCAACAATATATGACTTATAACTTGCAAATACTAGTCACTGCCTAATACTAATACATTTTCATAGTATATACTAAAAAATATATCAAAGAATATGTTTTACACGATTTTGTATACAGAATATTCTGCAAATACAGTACACATGACAACTACTATGCAAAAGCAACACTTTTTATGTTACAATTTTTATGTGCTATTATATAGTAAAAACTGCATTAATATTTAAGCGATTAATAATAATAAAACTACAATATATTATTAGTATAACCATTAGACGTATACCTACACACAAAATAGAAAACATTTACTAAATTTGATATAACATATCAAAAATGATAACAAATTCTTGGATTTAATGAATGTTATGAAATGTAATAAATAATATTTCTACGAAATCATTGTATACGAAAAATCGCTTTTGATTATAAAAGTATAGTAAGTTATGCGGGGTTTTTGTGGTGTTATAATAAACATTTTTCCCATATGACCATCTCATTCATTAGTTATATAACTATAAATAATTTTTATTGTGAAATACAATTTAGATACAGTGCTAATACAATAATAAACTCAAAGTATTATAAATAGCTTAATGCATATACTATATAAAAAAATGAATAATATTTAAATGGCTTTTTAAACCATTAAAATAATAATAATGGAAATAAAATAAAAAAATTTAATAAAAACATTAAAGTAAATTGAAATAAAAATTATAGAGACACACAATTAAATAAATTATATGCAATTTCTAAGATAAGTTACTTTATTTCGTGTTTTAAATATTTTTAGCATTTTTTATTATATTACAAAATAAAAGCAATAATTTTTCTAACAATGTTATCCAATCATCTAATATTTATTAATTCATTTATTATTATATAATAAAATTCGATATTTACTTAATATTTAATTAATATAAGTAAATTAAAAATAACTTTACTATTTTAATAGATGTTTATAGAACTTAATTTAAGATTAACTAAAATATTTACTTTAAAATATTATTTAATGTATAAAATCAGTATAAAATATCTATATATTAGTTATCAAAGAATTTTAATTATGGATATATAAAACAAATACAAACAAATGTAGTGTTTTTATGATAGTATACTAATAGCTTCAAGTCATGGTTTATGTTAAATATAATAAAATAGTGTATTTTCACGAATTCCTGAAAGGAATACGTATATGCATTCTATAAGTCTGTCTGTCTGTCTGTCTGTCTGTCTGTCTGTCTGTCTGTCTGTCTGTCTGTCTGTCTGTCTGTCGGTCTGTCTGTCCCACGAGGACATAGGTTCGAATCCACTATCCGCTACAAATTTTTTTTGAATTTTTTTTTTGTTTTTTTTCTTATTTAAGTTTATTTTTTAGGAAATTGAAGAAAATGGTGTCCAAAAATTAATTAAAAAAATTTTGAATTTTTTTTTGAATTTTTTTTTGAATTTTTTTTTGAATTTTTTTTGAATTTTTTTTGAATATTGATTTTTTATTTTTTTCGTTTTTAAGTTTATTTTTTAGGAAAATAGTAGTTTATTTTGTAATACTGAATCATTTGATACCCCACATGACTATAGTTGTTTATTTTGTCATACTAAATCGTTTGATACTCTACATAACTATAGTTGATTTTATTTTATCATACTGAATTTAATTTTTAATTATGATTAGGAATTCGTGTGGAAATGCTTTCTAGCATTCTCAACTGGTTTAGTCTGGATTTTAAAATTATCCTCATTTATAACTTTTAAATTCATTGGTATTTAAGCATAAAAATCAATACAAAAGCAAATAAAACATTTATTTCGCGACTTATCTAACGTAAGCCATATTTTTGGTGCAATTCTTGATCCAAACAAACACTTTATTTGAGTGTTTGTTTAGCTTATAATCAAATCTAGTTATTGTGTCGAAGACTCAGCAATAATAATGTCGTAAATTAAAAGTTATTCAAAAAAATAAAACTCGAATTTTTTACGATTATAATTAATTGACTAAACTTTACAAACAAATACATAGCGATAATATCTTGAGTAAAAATGTCATTATATATACAAATAATAAACATGCACAAATAAATATAGTAAATTGTGTTTATTATAATTGTTTGTTTTATATTAATATTTAAGTTTTCAATAATCTTAATTTACATTAAAAATATTGCATATAAATTAAAAAATTATGTTTTCAACTGTCAAAATATTAATCACTTAATATTATTAGCTAATTACTTATTAAATATGTTTTATTTATATTAAATTATCAAAATAATAAGACAATAATTTATTAAAATATATAAATGTAATAAATATTTTACTAATGCTAAATATAACTTTATAGTTGATATATAAAACAATATTTTTATTATTTATATGTTTAATACTTTTTAATTAAGCAAAAATCACACATTTATACTGCATTTACATTTTTATGTGTGCATATGTTTCTACACTATTGTATATAGATTTGTATTTTTTGTGTGTTTTATCTCTATATTAATAATATATTAAGTATTAGACCTGTGATATCATATGACGCCATCGATTAGTGCTTATAAACAAACTATAATATTTTGAATTCAATTTCAGTACCGATTTTTAGAATATTTTATATTAATATTTTTAAAATAATAATTAGATGTTTTACAGCTATAACTGTATATTTGAATGTAATTTTGACTGAAAATTATATTTTAAGTGATTATTTGTTTATTTATTTATACAAAAATTATTTCTTAAGTAAACCACACTATATGTCAAATTAAATTTTATTTAAATAAAACTAAACTAATGATTGTTTTATTTTTAAATATATTTTTTTTGTAAAAAATTCTTACATATTGTTTCAAGTTTTATAAAATATAGAATTACACAATATTTTCAACATTTATGTAAATTTTAATGTAATGTAAATTTAATTTAATGTTAAGTATTATTATAATATATTTATGGGATTTATGGCAACAAATTATTTTAAAGGATATTCAAGAATCAAATATTAAAATCAAATAAAAATTTTCAAGATTTTTATCAAAATGTTGTTTGAAATATAATTATAAAAATATGTCTTTGATTTAACAAATCATATGAAAGCCAATACATGTAATATAGATGTCATTAGAGTACAGATGAAAGTAAGTGAATGACATGTGAGTGAAAATTGCGGTTAAAATACAGGGCTTTTCAAACATAGTGTTTGACTCTTGACTTAACAATTATTTTGATTATTAGTACTCAATGTTTGTGATTGTATTTAATGTTTGTATTGAAAGTCAAATCATTTCAAACTAACACTTAATTTGTGATTATATTTGTTAATCAAAACAATTATTACATCAATAGTTGACCTCATTTTTAGTCACATTGTTATCAATACTGTTGTTATGAATGATTGTATTTCTTATGGTTTGAATGACACGATGAGAGGTCGCGGAGCTTACAGACAGATCAAGAGAGAGAGTGAGGTCATTGATAGGTCAAGAAGTGTGACACCGACGGCAAGTGATAAGAGTACACAAAAAGTCTTCAGTCATAATGACATGAAAGTTGTTGTTTGTGACGACAAGAGACATGTTTTTGACGCCAAACGCCTTAAACCGGGCGTCAAAACTGTGACCACCAATCAAATGGCTGATGTCATCACCATTGATAGCGATGATGATATCGAAGAGATTACAGAAGTGGATATAATTGATAAATCAGACGTCGAAATGATTGATGACGACGAGGTTCAAGTAGTGGACAGTGATTACGAGTCAACGTCGACTACATTATCACTCGATGACCGACCGATTCGTGATTGTCGCCGATGTCTCAGAAGATTGACAACTAATGGTTACAGAGATCTCGAATACAATGAGTTGACGAGCGCTGACTTCTACTATAATCCACGTATTCATTGGACTGTCTTATCTCATGAACTGAAAGACAAGAATAGATACAACACTTATAAGAAAGTTATTGAAGATAATAAAGAGTCGTTTAAAGGCAAAACCATTCTTGTGATTAGTTCAGGCACTGGACTTATTGCTCTTATGGCGGCCAAAGCGGGCGCTAAAACAGTCATTATATATGATGGCAGAGGTATTAGGGAACTAATAGAAGCAGTTCTTCCGATTAACAGAAGAAATATTGGTTACCAATTGAAAACAAAGTTTCATGTAATGAGTGAATTGACTGATGACACTGTTCTTCCCGATGGCATTGAAAAGGTGGACATAATTGTGTCCGATTGGGCCAATCATTCACTTTTTTACAGATCAATGTTTAGTGAGTTTATAAAAGCGAGAGACAAATGGTTAAGAAAGGGTGGCCTTATATTTCCCGATTCATCGCATATGTATTTAATGGCCACTCACGACAATGTCCACAATCACTTGCGTAAAGACAAACGCTATTCTTGTAGTATGTTTGTCAAACATATTGACTATTGGGATAAAAATGTCTACGGATTTGATATGAATACCATCAAAAAGGCTGTCATCTTAGAGCCGTTTCACGAATATATAAATAATTCACAAATCGTCACAAACGAGACTCTCTTAAGACGTTTTGATTTTTACAAAATGACTTTAAATGATATCAATTTTGAGACATCTTTCAAGTTGACGACCAATAAAGATGACTATTTACAAGCATTTGTCATTGTATTTGATCTCATTTTCAGCAAAACTACTTCCTTACCGATGATGATATCGACGAGACCTAAATCTCCGAAAACTGTTTTGAGACCAACTATTTTATTCATGGATAACAAACAACATTTGCTTATATATACAGACGACAAAGTGATTGGAAATTTTAAAATGAGTTTTAGTAAAGACTTAAACTCAATGGCCATTAATATTGATTATCGATTCAAAAACAAAGTTTGTAATGAAATCAAAGAAAACCTCAAATTCAGGACATTTTCATAATGTATAACATTTTCTATATTTCATATATTTTTTGTCCCATTTTTCATTTTGCAATATTGTATTTATATCGTATGTTTTTTATATATTTTTTTAATTGTTTTATGTTTTAAATTTTAATAATTGATATTTTGTACCGTAATTGTCATATACTGCTGTTACTATAGATTGCTAGTACGGTAATAATGATTACCGTAAATGATTGAATATTTAGAATATATTTTCATTAAATACTCATTTTAGTGTTTTATTTCTTAACTAAAGTTAGAAATATTTGTTTTACAAAATAATATCTGTATTTGTTTCGAAGCAAAAATTTAAAAATAATTTTAAATATATTGTTTTTAATTTGTTTACTTTAATTAGTATGTTATTTGATATAGAGATCTAAAAATTTGTTATATTGAGCATTAATTGATTGATTGATATATAAATAGATTGATTTAAAAAATCACATTTTTCTAATTAACTGTAATAATGATATGTAAACTTATAAATGTATAATATTTGGAGTTAATTGTTGTAATAAATGGCAGTAAAATAGCTCTCAATTGTTAACCCTTGCGGTCGCTGTACTACTTCTGCAAAAAAAGTTCAAAATATAAAATAAAATGCTGTAATAGTATTAATAATTACCTATTTTTATATCCAGTTTGTGGTCTCTTTATAGCTGTGGTCACTAACGCTGGTATAATATCATGTTTTTTAGTGCTAACAAAAACAGGTTCATCACTGCCATCAATAGATAAGGACATGGCTTGCATTGACTGTTGAATGGAGTGTTCATCCGACAGATTGTCAGAACTCGAATCATTCAAAAGATCTGTTTTGATGAGTAGTTCCGGATATATCAGTGACTCATCCAAACCATTGTTGAGTTGATCTATAGTATCACAGGCTTGCGATTCAATCATTTCAAGCCATTGCTTATTATGGGAACAGAATTTTTCCTCTTTTATCTTTGAGGCCAAATCGAGATCACATTCCTAATAGTTATGCATTACGTTAATAAAGTAACAGATTATGACATTTTATTTACCGCTATCACATCAAGAGTGGCGTCGCATATCCTTTTGATATCTTTATTCCTGTCGTGCATAAGATCTATCAAATATGGGGCCACTTCTGCATTCAAATTGTATCTATAATTAGTTAATCAATTCAATTCAATTGATGTCTTACGCGAATCTTTTACGATCACATCTCTGGCTTCTGAATGTCTGACAAACATATAAAACGCGTAAATAATTTGAATGACTATCTCATCGTCTTTTTGTTTGGCTATAAATGACAAACAATTAATTTGAATATTTTAATCCAACAATTATTATACAGTATATACAATAACCATCAGTTATACCATTTAACAGATCGATTAAAAGTTGGATAATTTTGTTATCCATAAGACATAAACAACATTCTCGTTGATTGACAGCTGTTCCTATAAATATAGCTAATTGTAGAATAATATCATCATCGGTGGTATTTCCAACTTTAATTCTCTCGTAAATCCATTCAAAGAGATTGTATTCAATGAATAGTGAATACCAATCGATTTGAGTTAAAGTCAAGTTTGATATTATTGCTAAACATTCAACTATTATTTCTTCTTTGGTCTCATTGACCATAATTTCTATCAATTGTTTGTGATAATCAATGAATAGCATTTTGATGGGGTCGTCGTGATGGCTGATATTTCGCAACAGTTTCAACAAAAGTGGATCTTTTGTCTCAAAACATTTAACAAACAGTTCATTCAAATATGAATTATCGCACATTAATTGAGCGTTTCGTTGATTTAGAGCTAAATTGATTGCTAACGAAATGATCTCATTATATGTATTAGGGGTCGGATTCAGTACTTTTGAGACAATCAGATGAATGCATTCAGAAGAATAACTGAAGAGTGTCTTCCATTTGTCGTTACGACTGATTTGATATAAAATTGTTAATACAGTCTTCGTGTGTTTGTCTTTACTAAGAAAAGTAACTAATTTTAAGATGAGTCCCGTCTTTATTACGACAACTCGGAGCTGATTATCAAATATAAGATTATGCATTAGTTTTAAAGTATTGGAAACAAGATTTTCGTTGGTTAAGGATAATACTGGCGCCAACTTCTCGATAATTGATAACTCTTTCATCTGATTTTTATTTTCTATATATATCGACAACTTCTTGAGGAAGAGGACCACAACCAACAGCAACTCTTGTGAATCGCGATCTAATGTTTTGACTAAAAGTCGAATAATTCCTTTGTTAACCATTTTGATCTCAACTTTAGTATCTTCTGATAAGTTGAGTAACAAATAATAGACAACTCGAAGCAAATTATTTTGTTTACGGATTAATAGTTGATATCTCTTGAGACTCTTCTCAAAGTCTGCCTGTGCTGTCAGGTTGTAGTGTCCCTCTGCCAGTGCTTTCTTCTCGTTTAACTCCTGTATCCAACTGTCCTCTCGAGTCAGCTCACACTCAACTAAATCAAAACATATGGATCCGACTTTGAACTACAAGTAAATAATTAATTATTGGTAAGTATTAAGTTATTTGATTAAATCACTTAACAATAAATAAATGAATGTCTCACTTGACTTATGGTTATATGAAATTGAGAGTAATTTGAAAAACATGCAAATATGAAGACAATATTAATGGCCAATTCCAATGACTTTTTGCCATCTTCTCGAAGAACTCGAGCCAATGCACAAACCAATGTTTCATTAGTTGTCAATTCAATTAGATTTTCACTATTTTTACTTAATTTGAGTATTAAAAGTGAACCCTTTATTTTTTCGGGCAAATCTTCATAAAGAAGTTCAATGTAATGATCGAGTTTATCGATGACCGCTTCTTCGGTGGTATCTCTTGTCTCTGAATCAGGTCTATCGATGAGCATATTTTTCATACGATCTGATAGTGCTGTTTGTGGTCTAGTAGTTGCAACTTCTTTACGTGTTTGCAGATAATGTAATAAAGTGGTCAATTCATTGTATTTGGAAGCAGGTATTAAATCACACTTTTCGATCAACTCTTTAGCCAATTGCTTGATATCAGTCCATTCATCCAAATTCTTAACACGAATACTATTTATTTGTCAAAATAAATAATTCAATCAATTTTATAAATATATTGCAACTTAATTTGATATCAATAAAAATATATCAAATTTAGTATAAATTGAAAATCTTATTTAAAAAAATAAATTTATCAATATTTGTTGAGATTATTGTTTGAAGTATTTTATTGATATAAATAGCATTAATAACTGAATAAACTGAAATCAAATGGCATATCAATTGATACAAAGCATACTCTCAAGTGAGTCAACGATATATTACTGATATGCCTGTGCTCTCAACTGTGCTCTACCAGTGCTTTACAGCATCACTGATGCTGTCGGAGACTCTTTATTATCTAAAAGGTATTATACTGTAGTTTAACAAATGTTTTATTGTACATAAAGGCAATAGATGTGTGCGTTTAATGAAAATTATACAGTATTAATACACCAAATATCTCACATTTTCTGCAATTGTCGACTTTCCTCAAGCATAGTATCACCTAAATCACCGACAAGTGAAGCCTCTAATTCATAGTTTATGATAATTGCTTTTTCCGTCGGGTGGACATCAATAGAATTGGTTCGCAAATGTCTTCAAACAGAATAAATTGTGTCATTAATTAACAATACATCAAATTATTTGCAATACCTTTGAATGCAGTTTAAATCATCCAAATCCATATTAAATTTATAAAATACTAAATATATAATTTAAAAATTTAACACATTTTATGCTTTTAGAAATAACATCAAATACAACAACAAAAATATAATTATCATTTTTGTTGTGTTATTATAACAGAAAGAGAACGTTGCTATAGAGACAACATCCTTCAGTTAAAATTATTTACATTTCAAATATAAAAATAATTATTTAAAAAATCCTAAATTTTAATACAAATTAAATTATAATTATACAGAATAAATGATTAATTAATTAATTTATTTATTGTCTGTCAATTGTTTTGAGGACAATAGCGCCGATATCGAGGATTTGTAGGAACTCATCGGCGCCGTCGAGAAGTCTTTTATCATTGAAAGCAATGCGTTCACTAATAATTGACTTTTGTTTGTCTGACAATAAAAGTTGGTCGCAATCGATAAGCCAGTCATGAATTTGTAACAAAAACTGAGCGCCAGAATAACCTTCGGCTATCAGTTCTGTGACAAAATCAGTTAAGTTTTCGTATGATTTAGACCGACATATTTGAATAAATTGGTCGATAAATCGATTTGGTATATAACCGGCCACTTCATGTATGTCATTGATGTCAACTTCTTCATCAGATTCTTTAATCTGAGAAACAGATTGCAATAAAGTGATGGCACGCCTAAGATCTCCCTCCGATAATGTGACCAATTGGTTGATCAACTCATCACTTATACGAACCGACTCTAAATCGGCAATTTGTCTTAACTTGTCAACCGATAACTGTGAGTCCAATAGTTTAAACCGAAACGCTGAACAACGACTGACCAGTGGTTCAATAATTCTGGAAACATAATTACATATCAAACAGAATCGGGTAGTCTTGGCCTCCCTTTCCATAGTTCGTCTAAGAGCTGATTGTGCGTCGCGTGTCATTGAATCGCATTCGTCGAGAATAATCAGTTTTAAAGCGGGAATTGATTTAGTGGTCGTCGACACAGATTGTTGAGCAAATGACTTGACTTTTTCACTAAAACACAATAAAATTATTATATTTCAAACAAATAACACTTCAAAACATACCGAATGACACCAATTCCTCTTTCATCCGATGCGTTCAACTCTAAGACTCGGTTTTTGTATTGATTTTGAAACAGTTGTTTAGCCAACGCTATGATTGTAGACGTCTTTCCCGTACCGGGCGGTCCATATAATAATAGATTCGGTAATTCATTAAAACAATCAGTGGTCAAGTACTTGGACAGCATCGACACTATATGTGTTTGATAGACCACTTCATCAATAGTGTTGGGTCGGTATTTCTCGACCCATGGTTTCAATGATAACTTGATGTTTACTTTGACCACATCTTCCTCATCCATGGGCTCTTCTGTCGGCTGTGTAGTCGACGACTGTTTAAAGTTCTTGAAGAAGGTATTCATGATTTGTGAGTCCGATAAACAAGAGATCAATTGATGAGAAATATAAGACAAAAGAGTGTCAACAATGAAAACATGTCATCAAATGGTATGCTTTGGCGGCAATTCATTCATGACTTACATTCACTCACAACACGTGTCAGCACTGGTTGTGTCAAACATATCACGTGTTTGTTGTGTTGACTGTCACTGCGATACACAATAGAGTTCTCAAACAATTATGGTTTCGGTTTAGTTAAACCGTTAAAAATAAAACCAAAAACAGGTTTAGATTTAATTTATTGGTTTGATTCGTAAAATTTGTATAATTTTAATTAAAAATAACGGTTTGATTTAGTTTTAAGTTCAATAACTTTTTACTTTTTTGTATGCTTTCGGTTTAACTTTCGGTTCGGTTCGTAAAAAAATGAAACGATTCTCGACTTATAAAACACTTTTTGGCTAAAATGCCATAGAGTTGGACACTAATGGAGGAAATTGTAAAACAAATCAAACAGTTTTTTATATAATTAAGAAAATATTATTTAACATTAATTTATTGCTAAAAATATAACTGAAATAGTTTTTAATTAATAAACACAATATATTTATAATTAACTATTTGTAGAAAAATGATAAATAATTTGAAACAATTGACAAATAATGAGTTAATGGGAACTAATAGCTGGTGTATGAATGCAATGCATTCACTGTTTAATGACATCTATTGGTGTGAATGTGTATAACATTTGTATTATATTATCCAACATTTGATGCATTCATTCATTCATTGATCGCATTTATCGTATGTTTTGAGAGCATTGAGAGCACAACTCAAGTGATGACCCATACGTTGAATCAGTCGTTCACTTGAAGTCTCTAAGAAGTCATCTCATGTCTAACACATCCAACAAATTGATTCAATGGTTAAGTCATCTGATTATATATGATGTGATAATCAACAAAAAAAGTGATGACAAAAGTCAATGCAAGACATGAGGAATGATTGAAGAGTTGATTCATCGATACATTTGATTGAATATAATGTTTTGATTTGAGTTTTTAGAGCAAAGCATTCAACGAGTGATTCATTCATTGAAATCAATGCAATAAATAGTGTAAAGAAATAATGCAATCAATTGTGTGTTCAATACATTAATATTAATACTATAAACATATTATAGTTTGCATTACATGTGCTTTCATTTCGTTTAAATCAATGAAAACATAATATTTTGTATAACAATAACTGCTGTTATTATTGAATTTATATGATATTTGTTATATATATTTGTTAATTAATTAAATCAAAACAATTATTGTTTTTCATAACTAAGTGATTGATAATTATGGCAAAGGATTTCAACGAAGCCTTAGATGACATCAATTTTGCTGAACAAAGGTTTGCATTCATTGATTGTTTTACTTAATTATAACATCTTTTGTTGTAAAGATATAAATCATTTGTAAAGTATTTATAATTAGTTTTAAAAAATGGTATAATTTATGAGTAAAATGAAGAGATAATATAAATATGATATATGATAGACGTCACCGACAAATGGGGTTCACTCGGGGCTATTCGGTCGGAGAAGAGGCCGGTTGGAGGGATGGCTATGTGTTTGGCATACGGAAGGGCTCACAGATATCTGCAGAAATCGGTTACTATCAGGGCTTCACTCACGCGTGGATCTCAATTCTTGAGAAAGAGGATCTCAATAAACAACGAAAACTGACTGCTTTGCGGACACTGTTAGATATGACCCGTAATTTCCCGAAAACTAATCTCTTAGAGGAGGACACCATACAAAAGTTGGGTCGCATTCGCGCCAAATTCAAACAATGTGCGGCTCTTATATCGGGTACCAATGCTTACATGGAATCGGGTAGTTTTGGTGGTAGCAGTTGGACATCCATGGACTCGGGTCAGGGAACCTATTCAGGCACCTACTCAACCACCGGCTCAGTTCGCGGCTCATCACCCAATCCACCAAACAATATGAAAGGCGGAGAAATGTCTTTTTAATACTACTTTTGGACATCATTTTAGACATCATTTTCATGACATTTTAAAATGTATGATAAATTATATTTGTATATAAAGACTATTATATGAATTAATGCCTTTTCATTAATGAAAATATTAATTATAGTCACTATTTATTATTTTAAATCAATAATTATCAATTGTTATGTTAATGTTATTTTTATCAATATTTACATTTTATTTTAATAGACCAAATGCATGATATTTTGTATGATTTTAATTGTCAACGTGTTATTGATATTACAATTAGACGACTGTTATAATTGAAGACTTGAACAGTTTGGACACGAATTGAGTTTATTATATAATGAATAAAACGAAATGATTGGAAAACTTGTTAAATAAATATATTCTATAGTAATATAATTAGTATTATACTATATATTATATTTGTTGTTAAACTATTGTTAAATTTTAATTTTATTTATATAAAAGAAATAAATTATAATTTTAAATCCAATTTACTCTGAAATTTATTTACTTGTACTTAAATTATAGTTATTATAAAATTCATTTATCTTACTTACATATTATTTTTTAATATTTTAATTTTAATATACATGATACACAATTTTTTGAATATTAAAAGATTTTTAAAAATAAATAAAAGTACATGGTAAAATATGGTAAAACTTAAATATTATTTTATGAATTACAAATGAGTAAAGTTATATACTGTAAAATTATAAAGAGTCTTAAACAGCGGCGGCGGCGATGATAGCGGCGATGCTATTAATTACAATTATCGGGTCAACAATAAATTTGATTAAAAAGTGACCAAGGGCAATGTTGTAGATAATTTTAAACTAAATAAAATTGTAATTGGTCATTTTTAAATTAATTGTATGATTGGCCAGATAATTTATATTCGACTGTTTAAAAAATTTATAAATGATAGTCGACTGCAATTATCTGGCCAATCATATAATTAATTAAAAAATGACCAATTACAATTTTATTTAGTTTAAAATTATCTACAACATTGCCATTGGTAACTTTTTAATCAAATTTATTGTTGACCAGATAATTGTAATTAATAGCATCGCCGCCGCCGCTGTTTAAGACTCTGTACATTATACCTGTATATCATTCACGTTATAAATAGGAAAGTTAGTCTCCATAAAATCACTTATACATTGTATATCACAATATACTGATAGTAAAGAAAGTAATATAAAAGTTATCTTTAAAAATATTTGTTTTTATTTATCTTTATATATATATATAATTTACCTGTAAATTTATACAGTATATTAATCAGGGTTGGAAAAATACAAGGTTTTGAATTTTGACTTTGTATAATACAGTATACTACAAATACAATGTACTGCTTGTCTATACTATAAATTTACTACTATATAATTTGTTCAATGTTTGTTCCATATTTGTGTGACGCAAACAATTACTTTTAATGTGTCGGCGATTATTAATAATTTTAATTTATTAAATAAATAATAATAATTAAATAAAATATACTTTTTATAATACACTGTATATTTTATAGCGCGTGAAAGCATTGTTTAGTAAAGAGATAGATTGCGAGAGAGTATTGTTGAACGTGTTAACTATTGATACACATTTTATTACGTGGATCTAACTAGTATTATACAAAATTTAAAACTAATATACTGTATAATATACAGTGTATATTATGTTAAAAATTACTTTAAAATATTTAGAAAAAATATAATTGCTAGAAAATGCATTATTATTATAATCGTCTCTAAGTTATAATAATCAAATAATTTAAAATAAAAAATGAAATTCAATAAAAAAAAATAATATTAAATATATATTAATTATAAAACATTATTTACTTTGCTTATATCAATGCTTTTATTACTAGTTGGTGCAAACAAAATTTTGTAAACAAAATTGGTCATGTATTTTACATTGTATTAAACTCTATATTACGCTTTGTATTATACAAATATTTTGTCTCTGCCAACAATGATATTAATATATCAAAACTTAGAGTACCTTTTATGCAGGGTTGCGAAAGGGGGGGGGGGGTAAGGCCATCTTACCCCCCCCTGAGGTCGAGATTTTTAGGTTTTACCCCCCCTGGCCTAAAGCCAAAAAGTTAGGGGGCCCCCTACCAATTTTTTTGATTAGTGTAAAGTTTAAAATTAAATAAAAATATAAATACTTTATTAAGTTTTAATATAAATAAATAGCTTATCTTAACAAAATAAATAGATAAAAATACTTAATTACATCAATTTAACATTATTTACACCAGTTGGGGCACTCCACTAGTTCCCTAATAAATTCCCACCAATTTTCAAGAAATTTTTTCATTTATGTAAAATTTAATATTAAACAAAAATATAAATACTAATTGAGTTTTAATATAAATAAATAGCTTATCTTTAGAAAATAAATAAATATAAATTTGTTAAGTACTAAAAAAACTATTTAGAGTTGGGGCATTTCAAGGGTGGATAGTCCCTTAATAAATTCCCTCCAATTATCAAAAAAATATTGATGTTTTTATTTTATAAATTTATAATAATTGTTTATGCTACTTAATAAACAAATTGATCTGTATTTTTCAGATTTTTTAATAATTACTAATTAAATTAACTAAATTACAATTTAATTTTTTAAGACAATAAATTCACTACAATATCATTAATTTTAACAACATTGTAAATAATTAATTAAATAGTAGACAAGTAATTATAGTAATTGTTTTTATCTTATATATATTATGTAAAATTTCATTTTTTAATATTGTAAAAATAATATTGAAAATATATTTTGAGTCTTAAGAAATTAAGTTGGAATATTTTTCTTTTTTAAGAAATTTATGTGAGAATTTATGAAGAATTTAATGGGAATTTAATGGGAATTTAATGGGAATTTAGTGGGAATTTAATGGGAATTTAGTGGGAATTTAGTGGGAATTTAGTGGGAATTTATTGGGAATTTATTGGGAATTTATTGGGAATTTATTGGGAATTTACTCAAATTTGGGAAAAATTGTCGTTTAAAAATGCAATAAAAATTGTTCACCCCCCTATACCCCCTATACCCCCCCCCCAAGCTTTTTCAAAAATTTTGACATTTTACCCCACCCTATACCCCCCCCCTGAGATCGAAAACCTTTCGCAACCCTGCTTTTATGATATTTTTAAATGTATTTTTGTTTAACTATTATATAGTCATTAAGCTTTATAAAATTAAATTGTGTACAAATAAACTAGTAATAAATTAGTAATGGTAAGTTTATCCTACTCATTATTTTATATAAATTAAAAAGCAATTATAAAATATTAATAATTGTTTTTGTTATATTATATGTTAGGCATTTATAAAAGGTATTGATATAGCCTATACTATAGGCCCTATAGTTTTGTGTTCAACTGTATATTACAATGTATAATAAGATACCATTTCTATGTGAACTTATGCACAAAATTTGTTAAAATTGTTAAATTATTTAACAGTAAATCAATTCATCAATGAAAATATATAAATTTAATAAATTTAAATTGTATGATCATTTATCTACATTGTAATATTTTGGCAATTGTTATCAATGACATAAGCATAATAATGAATTTACTAAATGTATTGCTAATTATATTCAAATTATTAATTATGTAAAAAATTACATACAAAAACAATTGGTATAATTTCATAATTAAAAATGTCTTAATTTATGCATGTACATGTATTATTTTTTATATATACTTATTTATACATATTTTTAAAAACATTTGAATTTGTCAAATTATACATTTTTAATAAATATTAATTAAAATCTATATAAAAAATAGAAAGTATTAATTGAAACGTCAAAAATCAAATGACATAAATTTGATCGCCAAATACGTTGTTAGAAAACAACATAATATTTATAGAAATTTTATTTATAATTATATATAAAAATATGAAATTCTGTCGGAATTTCCGAAATATTGACTGATTTCCTCTAATGATATGAAAATGAAATCATATCCTATAGGAAACATAGATACAAACCTTTTGGTTAAATCATCAAATAATGATATTTGATAGCAGTATTTCAAACATTACAAATCATTATCTTTTAATTTTTTAGTGATAAAACAATAGTTGATTAACTAAATTGAATTCAGAATTTAAAGAGTGGCTTCAAGTATGGGTCAGTCGGGTTCGTCCACTCGACACAGAAAATCGCTTTTTAGTAATCAATTTGAAAAATTTGAAAATCAGATCTCAGATGAATCCGATTACGTAACTCTGGTTCGGGTGACTACCAGTCAAATTGATTTGACTCCCGAAAGAAACTCAACTATTGACCGACAATTTCTTCGACCGACGCCTACATTTGCAGACAGAAGTCGACCAAAAACAACAATAGAACCAAATATTTATAGCGATATCAAGCAATATATGCGACCGAAGACCACATTAATTGAGAATCAAATCATTTGCGAAGACATCGGCAATGAATCGGCATTTAGTTTGACACCACCGACACCTCCACCAACAAACCGACCGTTAAGTTATGCCAATCACTGTTCACTGCAATGTGTTTGTAGTGATTGTCGGTTAACTCGTTATAATCTATTGAATTGGTTGTTACCTAACTGTACCCGAGTTAGTGCCGAACGTCTACTGAGGGGTAGATCTGACGGAACTTTTCTGGTTCGGTAAGCATTCTCTTTATACATCTATTAATATATTTCTCTAAGGAGTTGACCCTAAAATGCCAGTCTTTTCTTTATTTGTGTCAAAATTTATTGATTAATCTAATGTTTTTGATGTCTGTATTTAGAAAAAGCGAGAAATTTCCCAATCAATACACCCTATCGTTTGTGTGCGGATCACACATCAGACACTGTCTTATATTGAGATCAGTTTACGGTTAGTTATATTCAATTTTTCCATTTTAATACATTTTTCATATATTAAATAATAAATTTTTAATATAATTATACGACACAATAATTATGTATTCAATGACTTATATTTACAATTCAAATAATTTTTATTATATTAAAGTTGTATTGTAGTTAATATACTAAAATGCCATCACTTAATAACGTCAATTATACTATACCTTTAACTATACATTGAAATTAAAGTTAAAGTAGAAATTGCAATTTATTTTAATAAAATTATACTTTATTTATCTTAGTAAAGTTTCTATTATAAGATATATATATTATTTGTATGTATGTATATATATATATATATATATATATATATATATATATATATATATATATATATATGTGTGTGTGTGTGTGTGTGTGTGTGCATAATTGCCATCATAATACACCAAATACAGAGTGTATAATACAGTATATTATTATGTTTTTCATAAGTATAATAAACATAATTAGTAAATCAATTAAGTTATGATAAATACAGTGTCATAGTTATCATAGTAATGGTATATATTGTAAGAAAGCATACTATAACTTAAAAACAAATTTTGTGTCAATCCTTTAGTTAATTAATTCAATTAGGTTTTCATGATATAGTTTTGATAAATATCGATTTGATAATATTTTGTTTTATAAAGTTTTTTAAGTTATTAAATTTTTGATATAATTATGGTATTGTATTTTTATTTTAGTTTAAATCATTTTGTTATATTTTTCCAAAATTATTGTGTAAACTGGCTTTTTTAGCTAACAATGTTAAATATAAATAAAAGTTTGGAGATTTAACATATTAATGAAAAATATATTTTTAATATTTATACTGAATTTTTTTATTGAAAATTCTTAAAATACAAAAATCAATTTTTTATTAAACAATATAAAAAATATTAATATTAAAAAATCGACAGGAATTAAATATATATAATATAATATTAATATAATGATAATTTTGATTTACTTCCAATTTTTGGCTAATTATTGATTTTTAGTACTAAAATATACACCCACTCTCCTCTCATATGAACTTTACAAAACCATACCTAAAATTATTGCAGTTTGTGTTCAAAATAAACAATTTAGCAAATAATTCATGCCTTTAATTACTCCCACATTATATCAATAACATCGTAAGTTAGGCTTTCATTTTATTAAAAACTAAATGTTAATTAATTGTCTATTTATTGATGAATTTAAGTTATCACATCTATAACATTAATAATATAAGTTATACCATAAAATATTTGTGAAATAAAATCTATTTCAATTAAAATTGGTTTTTATGTCATTTATTTATAATTTATCAAAATCTCTAATACTTTCATATTACTATAAATTATAGTCTATAGTGCAGTAGACTATACACTGTATTTTTATAATACAAATTGTGTATCAGTTTATCGTTATATTGTAAAGTATTACATTATATAAATACAGTACTATACTATATATCATAATAATATAGATTTTAAGATTTTTTTTATCCAAACTTGTTTTACACAAACCTTTATTTATAAACACAATGTATTAAACATAAATACTATATATACTAAACTAAAATGTCTGTTTTATAATAAATTATAGTTATTTTTGTGTCATTTTAAAAGCGCTACAATAATGAATACTTCACTAAATATACAGCAATTATTTATATAAAAATTATTCAAATATAAATAATATAAAATTAGTTTTTATTCTAATTTTTGACTATTATTTTATAGTATCAAAGTTTTTAAAATAATATTTAATTACTTTTTAACACATTAATCGGTTTGTTTAATAGAGAATAATTAAATAATATTAATGTTTCAAATAAAGATATCTAATTATATTAACTTATCAATTATAGACAGTAAATAGCTTATACAGTAATTAATATTTAATATTTAAAATTTAACATTGAGTCTAAAATATAATATTAAATTATATACAAAACTTAGAATATTACAGTATTAAATTGTTAATAATACATTATGCTATACTCAATAATATACATTATATATATTATTATTATATATACAGTATGTTATTATTAGTATAATATATAGTATATACAAATTATATATTATATACACTAGATATGTATAATGATGCAAAGATATAACTTATATATAGATAATTTATGACCATCAAATATTGGTTAGAAAAGTAAAATAAAAATAAAAAATTGTTAATTATAGATAGTAGTAAATTTATCAATCACTAATTAAATAGTAAAGTCTTTAACATTGTTAATAAATTATTTATATATTAATACAATAAAATACTGTATAATCTATAATTAAATTAACGAAAGCCATTGATATAATTTATTTATATGATATATAAATTATTTATTAAAAAACATTTTTAATTAATTAAAATTATAACTAATTTCATCTTTAAATAATCATTTTTTTGCAAATCATGTAATAAGACTATATTAGCAATCAATAAGAAAAATATTATATAATTGTGTTTAATAATAGCATTTATTTTTAGAGTATGTGAATAGAGTATTTAGTTGTATATATAGTACTATAATATTTATACAGAATATCATATATTCAATGAATGTTATCTTTAAAAATATAGTATACTTTATAGAAATATATTTTCATTAACTTAAAAATTAATTCTATTGTAAATTATAGATATTTCATATTAAACCACAAATGTCAACAACAAATATTTAAATCTAAAATACTATTAAATAACAGCTAAGCTATAGTGAGATCCAACCTTTTTATCACTGCTTATGAAGAATAGGTTTTCATAAAAATTTATTTTTTCATTTATAAAGCACTGTATATAACATTTAATGACATTTCAAAATGATTTTATAGTAAAAAATAAAATATTATCCCCCATAAGTTTTTAATGCCAATTAATTAAATGTATTTAATATTGTTAAAATATAAAATTACCAATATTATGAATAATAATAGATTATGGTTTGATCTAACATTAATCTAATTTTATTGATATATAATAGTGTATTAGATTTGTTGGCCAAATGACAAATAATATATAAATAGTAAAAATATTGATGCATTTGAACAAATCAATTGAATTTCTTATTATAATAACAATTATGTTTATTCTATGATTAATAGATGTAACGAATTAAACGCTAGCTTTCAGTATAATTCACTTTCCATTCATTTATTGAATACTGCTTTTCATAATATAAAGACTTTTCGTTCACATTTCAGTAGTTTGTGTTTTCTCTGCTCAGACATCGGAAAAGTAGGTCATTCCCGGACCTAACTCTCGACTCACATACAATGTATTGTAATAAACGGTTAGAAAAACATTAAATGTATAGAAAAATCAAATTATAATCTCTTTATATTTGTCTTTTCCTAATCGCAAGTTTGTTTTGCACTAGAGTTGAATTTTTCAAAATAAATAATATTAAAATACAAGTTTTGTAACAACAAAAATCAAAAAATAATAATGAGCTTAACTCATACTATTTCACAAAATTTAATATAAATTAAATTTGTCGCTACATTTCAAATAAATATGATTTTAATAGTTATTTGCATAAGTAGTTACCCAATGCTCATGTGTTTCAAAATAAATGTTAACTTAAGTGTTGAGCCGTCACTTCACAATCAATATAAAAATACTGATGTCTTGATGGTATAGGATGTGAGACTAAAATAATATCATTACTTATCAGTCAACACACAAGTAACCAATAAATGGTTAAACAACTCAAAAATAACATATCAATACATTATTGAATATTAAATGTTTTATTTTCAATTGATTTCAATAGTTTATGCAATTTACAGTATTAACATATAATGTAATATTTAAAAAAATACCACATACAACATGTCTATCAATATTTATATATATTTTTACAGAATTTATCAAAAGTAAAAAATTAATATTTTATAGTTATAAATAAAATATTAGTTTTTTTCAAAGATCACTATAAAAATAGAATTTTAAACCTTTATAAATTCATATATTCAATATATCAAACTATTTTTTCAAAATTAATAGATAACAACTGTTAAAATATTAAATCAATAATTTCTAAGATTTATTAATATTTATATACAATAGTTTATTAATACATATTACAAATCATTTATGAAGATTTTATTAATTACCGATATATAATAAAAGACTAATATTACAATTTTTACTAATTTAGAAAAAATTGTAGAATATTAATGTTAAAACATAATAATTATTTTTGAAATTTATATGTATATTTAAATTATAATGTAATAAAACCTCTACTATAAACTATAAGTAAAAAACATTGCCTATTAAGTAATAATATTTCTGTGAATATTAAAGTAATCTAAATAATTAATATAACATTTGACTTATATTATACTAAATAGTATTTTGACTATATTTTGCTAATATATTAATTTTTTACACAAAAACGCAAAACATTTTTTTAATTTATATTTATTATATATATTCATATCATAAGAAATCATTATATATTGCTTTTTATACAAAAGCATTATATAATTTTTAATAACAAATGTTATATTAAAATATATTATATACTAAAATCGTAATGAAAAAAAATAATTTATTTGAATCTGTAATCATATATAACATATTCTATAAATAAATGCTTAAATAAATGTTTTTTAATCAGAATTATTATAATAATGTTTTTTTCTGTAGGTTTTGGTTTGAAAGAGCCGTACAAATACTCAACACTACAACAGTTTGTATTTCATTACGCAAAGCACTCACTCTCTGAATTCAATTGGAAACTCAATACAACTCTTAAATATCCAGTTTTCGCTTGAATTCAATAAATATAATAACAATTCAATAAAACAATCGATTGATTCGCAGTTTTAATATTATGTCAAAAAAATTTTGAGTTATTAATTGGATATAAAATCACTGAATCTCTAAATTTTAATTTATTACTGTATTACATATAAATTAACATTTGTTTTTATTTTCTAAAAATATTATAATTAAAAATAATAATGTTAAGATATATTTTGTTTTTAAAATATAATTATTTTATATAATATAAATGATATTTAATATTTATTATATTACTATAAATACAGAATATAGTACATGATAATATTTAATTATTAATTTTTGTATAAATATTATTTAATAATTTTATCTCTATTTAGAGTATTTTGTTTATTACTTAAAATTTGTTTACAAAATTGTATAAAAAATATATGCAACAAATTAAATTGTGATAACATTTTTAAGTTAAGCAATAAAATAAAGTATAAAAGCAATACTTACGTTAAGATAACACAAAATTTTATTTATTAATTCGTTAAAAATTGTACTATAAATGTACAACTTATATACAAAAAAACTTTTTAATATATTAAATATATTTGAATAATAAATCTATTGACTTAATGTAAATTTTTAATTACAATCTGATCACTTAATTAAAAATTAAAATCCTTACTCAAGTTAGTAGTCACAGTCAATAACTCTATAATTATTTATAAATTATAAAAAATATTAATACTTTTGGATTTTTTTTGTTGTTTTATGAATTACAAAAGATTAATCAAATTATTTATAAGTTAAATATAATCACTGAAGTTAAACAACACTGATATCAGATAAACTTGACTTTAAAGTTAATTTTGCGAAAATTTATCACACATTTAATAAATATTTGAAAACTCATTCATTTATTTTAAATAAATAGTGTACAGTATATCAAAAACTCTAATAACTATAGTATTCATTCATTAAAAATTGAAATTTTTATGTAATATTAATAAAAGTCATGATATATGAAATGTATAATCAATTTGAAGGACAGTAATTGTATTGTCAGTTGAATTAAGAGTGACATCAAAGCCAATCATTCATATCATTGATGAAAGAAAAATAAATTTAACACAAAATAATCAGTTATTAATGTTGAGTAAAATTATAATAATTTATAAGTTTACATATTATTAAATCAAAATACAAAAATTATTATCAATTTGCCAACAAAATGGGATGCATTGGCTCAACACTAATAGCGGCTAAACACCGATTGTCAGCGAAGAAAGCTAAACGACAGTTTCAAATACCAGATATTGTCATTGAAGAGTATATATCGAGATCACCGACAGATCGGATCAATTTGCATGAAAGTGAAGACTATATATGGCTTACAAACAATTCGACACAATTGTCTCCAAAATGGTTTGTTCACAACTGTTCCAACGTTGAGGCAGATTATCTGCTAAGAGACAAACCTGACGGTACTTTTCTTGTTAGAGAAAGTAGCCGTTTTGAGGGACAGTATGTTTTGGCCGTTTCTCTACATTATTTTATTCATCAGATGCTAATACAGAAAACAGATGAAGGCTTTGGTCTAATAGATCCCGGAGTACATCCAACCATTGATAGTTTGATCACTCATTATAGTCAAGTTTCACTAAAATCTAAAAACTCTCATTTGGATACTAAACTATTTAAAGGCATCTTTGAGTAAGTTTTGAGTTATTAATTGTTATATAACTATATTATTATTTACTTTATGTATTAAAAGTACTTATATTATATTTCATATATTTGTTTAAAAATTTCTATTAAAACTAATATATGAATAATATGTTACAATGTCTTATAATGTGTTAAAAAATATATACTGAAAATATATTGTATAAAATGTTGTTATAATGCTTAATTTAAACAAATTTTGTATTTAATGATATAAAAATGTGATGTAAAAATTAATATGACAAGTCTATAAATACAGTATAATAATAATTATAATGGAAAATAAAGTATTGTATTTACTGTTATAAAATTTATTAAAATTGATATTTTATTAAATAAAATTAAAGCAAATTATGCTTTAAGTGCTATAAGTTTATTGCAAAGTAAACAACAGATCTGATCCAATTAGCGTAAGTACTAACTCTTGTATAGACATTGGGTAGTCGATCGTGAAGACAACGAGATGACCCAAATGAGACAACCCCTACAATGACACCATTTTGTACGAGTGGACCACCAGAATCACCCTATTTTGATAAATACATTGATAAATGCAAAGTTGACGAAAAAATTGATAATTGATAAAAACTTACATTACAAGCACTTCTATACTTATCCATTGCACATATCATACCATTAGTTACAGTGATTGGTGACCATATATCAGAGCACTGGCGACGACTAATTACACTAAGATTTGCAACTTTTAGTGTTTCTGACACTTCATAACTGGAAGTCGATATACGGCCCCATCCGGACACTGTTACTATTGAGTTAGGTCTGGGATCCATTGATCGGGAAATATCAATGATATTAGCGTTTTCACCAAAACTAAAGGGCGCCGACAGTATCAGCACCGCTATGTCATTGGCATTGGTTCGCGGATTGTAATTAGGGTGCGGTATAGCTCTTCTTACTTCTATTAATGAACCCGTTTTATGAGTCAATGTGTTGTATCGGACTTTATAAACAGTATTTCCAGGTCTTGTAGTTTTTAATAAAATAAAATAAAAAACTTAAATGACTTAAAATGACTAAATTGATTATATGTACAGTATTTAAGTTGATTACATACCCGCTTACACAGTGAGCTGCCGTCACAATAGCGCTCTGGTGTATAAAAAATCCGCCGCAAATGAACCGATCGTTGGCCATCAATGCGATCTGATACGGACACTCACCCATTAAGGCATCCCTACCACCGATTACTCTCTCATCTTTAAGCTCATCCTTGTCTACATCGCTATTCATTAGTATTACATTAATACTTAATAAAGTTATAAAACTTTTCAATAAAATTGACATTTTTATGTTGTCTCTGATTATAATTGTATTAAAACAAAATGTTGTAATAATTTTTATATCAATTGTGTTTAAATACATTCTAATTGAATGTCATCTAAATATGAAAATGTGTTTATTATTTAGTTTAATCACGAATTTAACTGAATGTATGGCAATGTTTATCACGATTTGCATAATTTATATACACTTTGTATAATATTATTTACATTGATATACAAGTGATTTAATAGAAAAAATAGGTCATTTGAGAAATAATTTATATTAAAAAAAATATTATCAAGTGGTTAAGTATCAATATATTCAATAATAATATCTATTATTATTATTTGAAAATTATGGAATATTCTTATATTATTTTTATTTTATATCTTTACTATTAATTGTCAATTTTAAAACATTATAAGAAATAATGAATTAAAAAATAAATGCTTTATTTTGATATCGCTATAATTGAATTGAAGTCATAATAAATAATAATAAGATTTAATATAAATTTTAATTATTAATATTATTCAACTATATTATTGAATTAATTAATAGTAATATTAAGGGTAATAGTAATGAAAATATTTGTTACATTAATACAAATAAAATGTCGTAATTTATGTTTTATAACAAAAGCGCCAAATATTTGGTTAAAAATTTGAATTTGAATTGAGTTTTGATTATAAATGTATTGAAATGTTAACTCAATTGTCATTTAAATGAATTGTTTTGATTGTAATCATTGTTTTGTAGTCAACGTTAAGACATATCAACTATGGATACCAATGATAATGATATCATTGGTGAAGAAGTAGACTCTTTGTCGTAAGTATTAACTAATTATATGCTATTAAGTCTTAATTGAATTAACATTACATTTACAGCGACGACAATGCAATCAATCATTTATTTGAGACCAACTGTGACATCGACCTCAACAACGAGTCTTTAATTTATGAATCATTTGATGTCTCTGTTGATGGCGAAGACAATTATCTGCAAAACATAAATACCATTAAACCAGTTAAAAGCCAAACAATCGGCGAGTTTTGTATTAATAATTGCAATGATATTATCAAAAGATTAATTGATGACAACGAAGAACTTAAAAAATACAAACAAATATTAGTTGATATTGAAGAGCAAAACGTGGAACTAATAAAAGATAAAGAAGTTTTACAAACAGAGATCAATCAATTGAAAGAAAGTTTTGAAAAAAGATTGTCACTGAAGAGCGAAGATATTGATTGTTTGAACAAAAGTTTGTTTATTTGCGAGTCTTTAAACACAAGTCTTCTCAAAGAATTAGATGAGAAAAACAAAGTACAGCTCAAACTCGAGTCTTATGTCAAAGAACTTGAAGACAAAGTATTGAAGTTTTGTAATAATTTTTAATAAATTTAGTTATAATTTTTTATAATTTATTTTTAGTTGTATTATCTGGAAATGCAATTAATGGAAAGTCAAAAGATTGAGCAACAGTTGACCACATCCTATGAAAGTGCGAGACAAGCGTATACTGAGGAGGAAGACAACCGTTACAAGACTTTGGAACAGTTGCAGAGTGTTTACGTGGAGTGCGCTCAACAACAGAATGATATCAAAGATCTTAAGATTAATATTCATGACTTAGAGCGAGAAATAGCTGATAAAGACAATGAACTTTGGTTTTATAAGACTAAGTTTGATGACTCTTTCCGTAACTCTGTTTACAACAACAATAATACCACAAGAAAGACGAGAGATTCTCAAACAAGAGATTCAATTTTATTTAAAACTCATTCAGAAATTCCTGACTATTCCTTTAGTGTCAATGAAGACGAAATGGATCACATATTCAAAGATTTTAATGATGAAAGTCCTGTTAAACCTTTCATTACTAATAGTGATAATATTTATGACGAGAATTTGAATTCTTGTTTTAGTCCGGAAAACATATCTCCAATAAAACGTCCCGTCAGTGATGAAAGCAATGAATTACACAACAGATCTGAAATAATAGATAATTCAGAAACAGTCGTCACTAATGGAGTCACTGATGGAGAGGATCTAAATATTGTAAATTCAAATGAAGTTGTGATTGAAAAATATCTGTCAAAATGGTAATTATATATACAATAACAAGTTATTTGTTTGTTTGTTCTCTCAATTAATTGCAATTTTGTTATTATAAATATAGGTTTTGCAAAATGATGACATTCTTAGCAATCATTAATATGAAGACAACATTTCGAGTTGTTTTATCATTGATTTTGTTGGTGTTTTTGACAAATATTTTATTGACTCAATTGTTTGCTACAAAATTGCCGGCCTATACCTCTTGGGAAGAGATCATATATAAACTATTTACGCCGTATTTAACTAAAGTCAAGACAAGTAAAACACAATAATAAGGTATTCGTGAAATTATCATTTTATTTCACTACAAATAAAACTTGAAATATCATTGTTTGTTATTTTTGACGCTTAAAATGTTTTTTTAAATTTATTTTAATAGATATATATATATATATATATATATATCAGAGTATAGAGATGTTTAAAAACTGTTGATGTTTTCTGTATATTTTCAATATATTGTAATAAGATTTGGTTTATAAATTTTTACTACCGGTAATTATTAAATAAAATTTTAATTGAAAATCAATTAAATTTAAGTTTAAATTAGTGCACCGTTTGGTGCAAAAAAATAATTTAACAAATTAATTTAAATGTCATTTGTGGCAAACTATTACAAAATATTATTAATTCAGTGGAGAAATAAAACTAATACTATGTCGTTATAAACTTGATTAACAATAATAACAAAAAAAATAATTGAAAAATTCATACAAAAGTATATTAAAACAATTAATCACTAAACTGGTCTACCGGGTAATGGCATTGAATTAAAATCTATATTCATATTCATTTGATTAGCGTATAACTTGTTTTGGTTTTCAATTATCTCAAACATTTCGGGAGGCGATGGTATGCGACCAGTCGTTATTTTGGACCAAACGGGGACATCTGTTGTTTAGTAATTATTATCATTAATAATATTATAAATGTCTAATAGATATTTCATACCATTATAGTAGATCTCGAAGGCGCCGCTTGACATAAGATGGCTCTCTATGGTATTACTCAGGAAGAATAACATGAGACAAGCGTACATCTGATGGATAGACAAAGACATTCATTTAATAAACAAATCAAATATATTAAAATCAATGCAATCAATAATACCTTGTGTTGAGTCATCCAAAACCAGACACCGGGTGTCGGGACACCCATTAGTTGGAAGGGATTGACATTAGCCATGAGTAGTGCTATGATTACTAGTTTGAGGACAGATAACAACTGAACGACTTTGTTTTTGATTAAACCGGGACTGTAATTGTCACCAATGATATTGATTTGTGGGAACCGTTCAGAAATCAGATGTGAATACTCATCAAAAGCCCGTTTATAACCACATGAATAGCAATACAGTATCTTAAGTGTCGGTCCACTTGCGGGTGCTTTTAATGTCATCGAAGGGATCTCCTTCTTAACAATCGACGCCATATCAGGACCCGAATTGTGGTCATTATCTGAAGTAGTCCTCTGTTGGTGACCGACCAGTATATCCCGTGCCGTGAAGGCCACAAATATGAGGAAAATTATCAAAAAGTAGTTATTTTCCATCTTTTTTGAGATTTGTTTACACTTTGCTTATGACTAAACACTAATCCAATCAGTTATTGGTCTCAAATGTTGACCAAAATCGAGATCACACCACGTGTTTCATACAATCATTAAAATACGTAAACAATTTGCAATCAATTTATAATATAAATCAATGTAAACAATGTGTTGTTAATCAATGCATTTATCAATGATTTACACAATTAAACCCTAAATAACGTCAATCACTGGTTGGCTGTCAATGATTCCTAATGTAATGTATCACTAATCACGTGATACACAGTGTATTACACTTACAATTCAATGTGATTTCAATTGGAATTATTATAACATTATAGTCATATGAGGACATATCGGGGGCGTAGCTCAGATGGTAGAGCGCTCGCTTAGCATGCGAGAGGTACCGGGATCGATACCCGGCGCCTCCACTCATTAATTTTTGCATTCACATTGAACAAACTAATTATTAACATTTATTTAAATTTTTGTTTTAGTCTATTTTTGCTAAATTATTATATTATTAAAATATAGTACTATATTTCACTTTATTTGTCATAATTAATATACAGTAATTTGATTGTTTTGATGAATAATTTTAACTAATATTTCAATAAATAGTAATCAAAACAATAATTGTGTTAAAAAAGTTTGTGAACTAAATCACTATTTACTTATATAATGCATGTATTGTATGTTTAATCCAACAGAAAGTATTTAAATATTTAATATATCTTAATAACTAAAGACTTAACTTCTTAGGAGTAAAACAAGTAAATTAACTTTTGTGGTGAAAAACTAATGGCAAAACTTTTATTTTACATTAAATACATAATATGGGACACAATAAAACAGTTTTGTGATACTTTAAATACTAATTTTTAATGTTAATTCTAGGAAGTCATAAATAATTTAAAATTAATATATTTTAAAAATTATATATATTTTTTAGCAATTATTAGTTAATTATAATTTATAATTGATGTTAATATTGTAATAATTTTTAGAAACATGTTATTATAGCGGTATTTTATAATACAAATTAACTTATATTTTATGAATTGCTTAATATATAAATATTTTAAATCTTGATATTTTAGTTTATAAATTTTTAATTAATTCATAAATTAAAAAATAGCTTTAATTAATATATGATAAACTAGTTTCAATGTGATTCAATAAAATAAATTTTAATTTAATAAATTATTAAATCAAATTTATAATTTACAATTAAGATTGTTATTTATTAATATTATTATTACAATATAAGTTCATAATTATTATATATTTTTAACCTTTTATTTGTAATTTGTAAAAAATGTTTGTTTTATTTTTTCTAATTTTATCACTTTTAGCCTAAATTTAATAAATTATATCTTTAAGAATGAGTGTAAGAGTAAAGTGTTTATCTCTCAAAGCAAATATTTATCACAATTTTAGTCACAACAGTGATAATAAAATGTTTTTTTTTAATAATTGATATATTTTTATAATATTTAAATTATGTTAAATAAAATAGAAGAAATTGTTATTTTAAATGACATATACTTTAGATAAAAGCTATTTTGAAAATACGGTCATAAAATGTTTTGATATTTTAGTTAATTTCAAAGCTAAGCAAAACTTTTTATGGATTAGAGAAAAAACAACAAAATTAATTGTACTTCTCGTGTAATTAAAGTAAAGTGTTTTTGCATATACAGTATTTATGCATCAAAACTGAAAATAAATGTTAGAGAGAGAGAGAGAGAGAGAGAGAGAGAGAGAGAGAGAGAGAGAGAGAGAGAGAGAGAGAGAGAGAGAGAGAGAGAGAGAGAGTTGAGTTTAATTTTTAAAAATTGTTTATTAAATATATAAACACAATATATAAAGAAATAAAAATGAAAATTCTTTTCAGTAAAAAATTAAGTAAACATTGTATTTGTTAACAATTATTAAGTAAAACCCTATCAATAGTGTTAGCACTGCTTTATTATATACTCAACACATATGTCGTCAAAAATATATACCGTATGTATTTTAAGTCAATAAAAACGATACAAAAGTTAATTATAGAGATATAGTAGTGATGCGGATGTGTGAACATTGGGATGCAATGCTCATCATTGAGTCTATTATATTATGGCATACTATCAGTCTATATATTATATTATGGCATTCAATGTGAATATTAAGTGATTACGAGTGATGTGTTGACCAAACAGATGGCTCTCATCACTAAACTATTCAATGACTGGGAGTTTGTCATCAAAATAATGAATGCAATGATTCACTGGTCTATTGTTTCCTCCATTTGTTAGTACAGTCATTGCATTCAAATGATTGCTAATTCAATGCATTATAAAAAACAGTGAATATTATAGTGAATATAAAAAAGTAAAGAATAATTGTTATCATTATTATTATACAACACTAATGTTCACTAAATTCTTGCAATGCATTGAAAATCACTTTTGATTTTATAACGAGTTTTATAATAATAATAATTATTAGTATTTATGAAATAAATTTGTATGAAATAAGACAAACAAATAGTCAATCAATTTGTGACAAACCGTGTGTTTATTCAACAACTTTAAGTCAATAGAAATGATGTGATTTTGTTTGAATAGCAGGTATTTAGACAACAATCCTATCAATTGATTATATAAATTGAGTTTTTATTGTCAATATAATAATATACATTAATTTTATAAATACCTGGACACTAATCATTATGAATATATATATATATATACAGTATATACAGTTTATATTTATTTAAATAACATATTTATTGAAAAATAGTTTTAATATGTTTTTAATGATTATGAAAAAGGATAATATTTATTAAGCAAATTAATAATTTTGTTATTTTATAAAACTATTATCATTTTATAATTTTTATTTTTATTTAATAAATAATGCTTAAAAATAGTTGAATTTATTTTAATTTAGCAAAAGTTTGTGTCAATGTTTTTTATTTTTGTTTGATTTTTATTACAAATTGATTGTTACACTAATTTATTATATTTTTTGTTATATTATAAACTATTTTACTCGTTATTTTAATTTTATGCAATTTTTGTCAATTTATGTAATTAAATGTCATATTAATAAACAGTTTGATTAATGACTAAATTACTGATTTGTTTTATTTTCAAATAAGTTATTTAATCTTTTTATGTGATATTAGTATTATACATATATTTATATTTAATTTAACATATTATTAACTATGAATTTTAATTTAATGTGATTTAAAAGCAATATAGAGTTATTTTTGTATAATCTATTGATTTTATATTAATACTGTATTATTATTAATATTATTAATACAATAGTAAGTACTGTAATATTATATAATTAGAGATTACAATATGTGAACCAAACATTTGCTTTACTAACCAATTAAATACTGTATTTATAGAAATCTTGATAAATATATATGACTTCAATGAAATTTTTATGTATTTTATAATATAAAATGTGTTTCTATTTTTATAAATCTGTAAAATGTATTTCAAATAATAACTATACATTCATTAAAAGAGACAAACTTTGTATTACATAACGATTGACTGCCTCGACATACCCGACCATTCATATGATAAGAACCTATTGATTCAATAGTCAATCCCTGAGCCACTTGTTTGTGAAGTGTATTCATAATCTATTCATATATACATTGAATATATAATATTCAAAAGTATTGAATTTAAAGTTTTCAGTTATTAGTTGTTATCTTTTCCTGTATTTTCTTCCTTTAATAGGATATACAAAATGTTTGAATTATTTGCTTAACTGTCAAATCCATGTCAGTTCCGTTTTGTAATAATAATTTCAGTTATATTTTACTAATTTTTTATTAAAAATTATTTAGAAAATATATTCAAATGTTATATATATATATATAAAATTGAATTAAAAATGAAATCAAACTTAAAATATTGTTAGGCATTGGAGGTTTAGCGATGTAAACGTTGATCACAAATGCCGGGACTCATTATATTTAAGCGCCGGTGGTCTGTGGGCTCCGATGACCTGGTCGTACCCGCATCCATATTATTGGTCATTCATATGATCTGGTAATTAATAATAATAATATTCAAATGAGAAACACTTATTTAATTGTAGTACAAATCTTAATCCCGTTTAGGCTAATAATATTGTCCACAGCAGCCATCACTTGGAATCCATACCGTTGTCAAAGTTATCTATACTTTACATTGGGTTATATTGTGATACTTATCGGCTGTATTATAGTCGAGGTATTCATAATATGGCTATCGATGAGAGGATCCATTCTGAATAACGCTCCGAGAAGTTCAATGAAATATCTACTTTACATAAGACTCGGTATAATTGTTATAAATTATTGATATAAATTTGATAATAAATAAATTTTATTTTATTTTCTAAAAAATAGCCATAATTTTAGTTGAGATTTTATGGATGATATTGACAACAATGCATATTCGCAAATATTACGATTCATACGGACCCGTATGTCATAAGATTTCTGGTGTTGAGGCACTCTTTGGTATGACTGTCTGTAATTTGGTTGTCATCGCTATTGTCTTTATAACGATGTGGTGTTCATACGATACGGCCGGTCGCTCGTGGGTTAAGATGAAAGTCTATCAAAACAGCTTAAAAGAGGGACAATCAAAGTTTAGATATCGACGCTCAGGTAATAGTCAACGCAATTGGAGGCATCGGTAAGTAAATATATCTAAAAAATTTATAATAATTTTTGATTGATTTGTATAACTTTTATTATTAAAGAATTGCTATAAGAGAATATCAGGACAGTTGGGACAGAAGGTGTCGGTTATTATTTTGTTGTGTCGGGAATTCCGATCGCCAACAGAACTCGTTTACCGAAATAGCAAAACTCTTGTCTGAATTTTTTCGAGACTTAGATGTCGTGCCTTCCGATGTGGTCGCAGGACTTATGCTATTAAGAAGACATCAAAAACATGAACAGAGAGTCATTGTTGATAAACGACAGAACAATACATTTCAGTTCTTGTCCGGAGTTGCCATCACTTCTAATACAAAGTTTCTTGACGTCAATCATCCGATAGTAGCCGAAGAAATACAAACTTTAATACATTTTTTGCACTACGGATTAGCGGTTTACGGGTGGCCTATCTTTGTGATGATGAATAGCGCCACCGGCTGTTGTCAGCTATTTCCTCACATGAAGTGTTGTCCTAAGGCGTCATTTTGCTGTTTTGGTTGTCTGTCAGCGACAAAACAAAAGGCAGAGTCTGATGACATTGCTGTCGATGACAACTGTTGTCAATGCAATTATGCGGCGCTTAAGAAGATGTGCCAAACGCACAATTATGAGCTCATTTATGCTACATATCACGTGGCCATTGGAGAACCACCTTTTTTCGTAGCTCTTGATTATGATAAAAGAGCGGTTGTTATCAGTGTTAGAGGAACTCTATCTCTTCACGATGTATGCTATCATTTGTTTATTTTTCACTAATATTACGGTAATTAATGTTAATATATTTTTTAGGTCATAACTGATTTGAACGCTGAGGGAGAGCTACTTCCTACTGATCCCATACATGAAGACTGGTTGGGACATAAAGGGATGGTTGAATCAGCTGTTTATATAAGAAATAAGTTGAAAGTAGAAGACATACTTAATAAAGCACTGAATTATGACCCGGAAAAGGGCACTCAAACATTCAATATAATACTAGTGGGACATTCATTAGGTGCGGGAACTGCCGCTATTTTGGCCATTTTGCTCAAACAAGAATATCCTGATTTAATATGTTTTGCATTTGCACCGCCCGGTGGGCTATTAAGCGCATCCGCACTGGAGTATACAAAAGAGTTTATCATTTCAGTTGTCTTAGGCAAGGATGTGGTGCCGCGACTTGGTTTGCATCAAATGGAAACCTTGCGCTACGATCTTATCCAAGCTATCAAACAGTGTTCAGAACCAAAATGGAAGATAATTGGTGGCAGATGTTGCTGTCAAAGGAGTGATACCAAAATTGGTATTAATTGTGATGATATCAGTGACGGCCAAATCTCTAAAGAGCTATCCTCTCATCCAATTGACGATTCAATTGCCCTAACAGTACATTTACCTCTTTATCCTCCCGGAAGGATCATTCATTTAGTAAGAAATCACCCGAAAAAGGCTGAGTAAGTGATAATAAAATTTAATGTTTTTATCTCTAAATTAACTATCGATTGGCTTTTCAAACAAATGCTTTGCTTTTCTATTTCATTGCTTTCATTAACTCCAGCATTAAATATGAACCTAAATGGAGGTATAAAACATTGCTTTAATTTATATATCTTTAAATACTGTTTTATAATTTAGTAAATAATGAATAAAATTGAATTAATAGGAAAGTTGTCGGCAAAAAGGAGCCAATAGTACAGGCATTATGGGCTGACAATACAAACTTTAGTGAAATACTCATATCTCCGGTAATGATTCAGGACCACATGCCGGACAAGATGTTGGAAGCACTCGAGTCACTACTAGTACACACGGGACCCGCTAAACCTCAACGAAAGCCATTACAAGATAATACAAACGTCCAAAATCTTCCTCAGAGTAGACCCGACAAAAATGTCAAAGTTTTAAAAAAAGAAAGTTTTCCATTGGAACCAATTGAAAGTTCACAGAATATAGTCATAGAAACCAGTTTTACTGATTCGCCACTTGTTGTACAAAACATTCAAAATGCCAAACATATTAATAGTAGGTCTGTCCGTCCCTCACAACTGATATATAATAATAGCCTGAGAGTGGATCTCTTACGCGATGACTGGATGGGTGCCGCACCGTTGGCCTCTCCCGAAACGTTAAGCGATGACTGTTCGAGTATATCATCGCGAAGTACAGGTGTTAGAGCCAGTTGGGCAGCGCTACCCGTGTTTACTATTAACGACAGACAATTTATTGAACAAATGGCAATCATTGATCAGCCGAGAAGTAATACTGATTGTCAATACAATAGTAAAGCTGACAGTGAGGTTAATGGCAATCACAGAATCAGTGGTGTTATGAATATACCTCTCGGCGAAAATGATATTCAAATTAATTCAAATTTCAATGGAATGGATGATTTGGATGATGTGAATAGAAATATATACAATAATCACAAAAAACTTAATTTAAATATTAGTTCACTTCATAATCAAAACGATATGCTTAATGAAAGAAACGATTTGTTTGATTTACTCGAAGTAAAAGATGAAAATTGTAACCAATCGTCAAATTCATCCGATAATAACGCTCAAGACTTAAACTCTGGAGATATATTAAACTCCAGGTGCGAGTCGACCAATGAGAACGAACCGTTGCCAGCACTCCATCGATTCTCATCGGACACCGACTTAAGTGCGACAGCGATGGAGACAAAACCACAGCCTTTAAGAAGAAGTCATGAAGAGATTCATTTAAATAATTTGGACGACACTATTGAAGTGTTTGAGGCTCAGGGATATAATATAAATACAGAACAGATATCCACAGATAGACGTTCGGGTGAAGTGTCGCCAACATTACAGATGCTCTTCCATAAGCTGCTGACCATTGAAACGGTTGAGTCTCCGACCACTGATTCTCCGACAAATAACGGCATTCAATGTGATTCCGACATCAATGCAAATCAAATTTCTAGTCGTTTTGCTGGCAATCACTTTTGACATTAATTTTTTTATAATATATCATTTGTTTTATTTGTTTTTATCTAATAATTTAATGAATTATAAATTTTTACATAAAAATATATTTAGAAACTTCATTAATTTTTTTAGTACTCAACTATATTGGCACTAAACTAATGACATATTTTTACATAATTTTTAAACTTAATTATATTTTATACAAAGTTATTCCTTTAAAAGTACATTGATGATATAATAACAAATTTATTTATAACCAATTCCATAATCAAATGCTCTCTATTTTGATGATTTAAAATATATCTTATCTTAAAACAACAAAATGTTTATAAATTTTGTATTATTTATTTATTTATTGAAACTCATATAATGTATGAAAAATGATACTACAGTACTGTATAAATATTTTTAACGATAGTTTAAATGTTTGCATTTTGGCTACAATTAAAATACAGAGATGAATAGTAGTCATTGATTTCAAGAATTTCTAAATCTGAATATTTTAGTCAACTATTTAAGCCTTTTATTGTGATATTAATTTTAAAAAAGGCAAAAAAGTCATATTTTAAAACAACTGATGATTTAAAGTATTTAACAATTAATAAAAATAATAAACAATTTAATTATATAAATATCTAAATATTTAACTGAAAGCTATTTAATTAAAATATATCAATATATTTAAAGATTGTGATTTGTATAACATGTATACTTAAATATACCAATAAATATTAACTTATTTATCCAATCAATTGAATTAATTTAATATACTGTATTATTCATTATATAACAAATATTTTATTTTTTGTTGTTAATAATGTCTGTATAGAGTATATACCGGTATATATCTATACGATTATATAGGTTTAAAACTTTTGTTTTGTTATTCAAGCGAATTGTTGCCCCTGGAGAGAGAGAGAGAGAGAGAGAGAGAGAGAGAGAGAGAGAGACATTTTGCTAGATTATGGATAAAGAGTTCAATATATTTAAGTAATTTATTAAAACAATTTATTAATAAAATAAATATTTAAATTATTAATTATGGTTTTATAAATGATTTTTATCTATTCATAGCATTTGTTAAATTTTTATGGCAGAAGTCTATGTCTTTGGCCAACTCGTGAGCGCTAAAGAATTCTCCAAAAGGTCGCTCTTCTGTAAATGGAAAATACATTTCGGTTTGTTTGTCATATTTCTGAACTCCATTTTCCATCTTTTACTTTATATACACATTTGTTTTAAGGCCATAATTGGAGGATTATTGAAGGACTAATTGAAGGACAGACTCAAGTGGATGATCCGCAAACTCAAGAGATTACTTATTGGTGTCATCCCATTGATCTTCATTTGGCTACAAAAGGAATTCAGGGTTTATAATAACATTTCTGATACTAATTGAATAATAAAACAATAAAAAAAAGTTTTTTTAAATTATAACAATTAAAACAAAATGTGATCCTTAAAAGGTTAGGTTGGCCTAAATTAGAGCTACAAGTGTGGAATCAGGACTCAACCGGTCGGTGCAATATTGTTAGCTACGGTTTTGTTCATTTGCCGACACAAGCAGGACATCATCGGATTACTTGTCACACTTGGAGACCAATCGGAGCATTGAGTGATCAAATTGCCAACTATTTTACAGACGAAGGTTTAAAGTTAACAAATGAAGAGATAATTGTGACAAATGAAAACCGATCGCGACTTCAAACTCAAGCCATGGGTGATATCAATCTGGATCTCTATTTAGTGCTCAAAAGTTTTGATGTTTATGGCATTGAAACCTAAATTATTGACTTATTAAACATGAATATAAAACATATTTTAATATTATTATTGATTTATATAATTGAATGTCAATCTAATGCCACGGAAAGTACATTAAATACATCAACAGATAATCAAACTGTAAATATCATTACAACTATTTCACCAAATGGTGACAAAAATACAGAATTATCGGTTACGACAACACCGACGCCAAACACAACTACTGATCCCTTAGAAGATTATCCGTCTTCACAATCCATCCAATATTCAGATGACTTTTGTACGTGTGATCTGAGTCTTGGAAAATGTAATATTGACTGTTGTTGTGATAATGATTGCGATGGATATCAAAAACGATCGTTTGGTGAATGTATTAAAACATATGACACCGTTTATGACCCGAGATATTGTAGTCATCATAATATTGTCTACAATAACAATACTGGAACTACTGTAGAGACGACTAGTAATGGTCTGTTTTGTATTGTTTGGGACAATACTCATGTGCGCCAACTCTATGACGATGTCAAGCCATACAAAAATTTACAGACATTAAGAGATAAAGTTATTCCTCAACATAATTATAAATGGGATCTAAAAGTTGATAAACAAGTTGTTTCACCAAATGATAATCAATACAAACGATCACTTTATTTGAAAATGAAATCTGGAAACAACTTATTAATAGCAAACATGTTTAATGAGTCCAATTGGGATGAGTCTGCTGTTTGGCAATTACCTCAATCAGTCATATTCACTGACGGCGACTGTAATTCATTCAAATCTGTCCGATATTTAAAGCCATTTCAATCAATATGTTATCAATCAATTAGCGATTTAAGTCAGGATTGCGAGAAAAATAAATATTTGGACACAAATTATTTTAGTTCATTTGCAATTGTCTCAAGAAATTATGCTAATTATAACGATACTCAACCCTATTATGTGAAAATCATAAATAAATCAAACAAATTAAATGAAACCCCCAGTTATGATCCAAACAATAAAATTTGCAACAATTTAGTCCAATCTGTAGAGTATGTCATTAGACACGACGGACTTCATGGCATAGTTGAAGCTGAAGTCAATTTTAAGATAATTAGTCTAAGAAAAGTTAATTATTGGTTTAAACAAACATTTAGTGTAACATTTGAATGGTTTAATCAAACAAAAAATATTGAAGTGAGTGGTAATCCAGGCTATATTATAGGAAAACCAATTTTGGCCGCTTATAAAAATCAAGATTTGAATATTTCTCGAGATATTAATGGTTACAAAATTATGACTAAAAATAAGGACCAATTTTGTAACATTAAATCGTTAAAAGAGTCGATAAAGTTTGGCATCAATTTGAGAACCGGTTGTCTTCTGGACTTTCAAACTATAAAACAAAACAACAMWTCTTGTGATTTAATTCAGTCAACAATTTACAAACTATTAGAACCCGAACCACGAGTTCAATATATCGGTGTTTTCGGTAATTCTTTGGACAACTCGACAATTGATTGGATCGAAATCATTGATTCAAATAAACCAAACAAAACTGATATCATTAACAACATTAATGTTTGTCCCACACTTGTAACCGGTATATCACTTCATATATATTATATAATGGCTGGAAGTGTTAGACAACCTCAGCTTAAAGTTATCGGAGCTATCAAAGAGTTTCATAGTATTTCTGATGTAATGATTAAATGCAAATCCGATTGCAATAATTTAATACAAGAGTTGAGCACTTCTGTCACATTTTTGGATATAACAAAGCCTTGTAGACCCAACTATGCCCCTCCCGTCACCTTTAAAATACAACTTCCCTCTGATTTCTTCTACCCATTCCTTATAAATACAGGTCATTATATTGAATTGAATAATGTATTAGTGATGAATGTCTTATTTATTATTGTAATAATGATATGATATATTTGTCGAGGTATTGATCAAATAAAATATAAATAAATCTATTTATTAATTTTACGATTCTTTATAAAATATATTTATTAAAATAATTTTATGAACCAATAAATAATGTAATTATAAAAATCTATTTCTAATTTAGACAAATTCTTTTAATTATTAATAAAATCAATTAAGTAAATAACTAAAATATATCCTATATTTATTAATGTACAGTAATAAATGTTACATTTGTGTTTATATCAAAATAGTTATAACTAAAAAGTTATTTTAAAATTATTAAAAATCTCAAATTGTGTGTTTTACATATTTTAAAAATTATGATTATTAATAAAATAAATAAATAATAAATATTTTACTATATTTTTTTAAATTGAAAAAATATCTAAAAAGGGTTATTAATATTAATATTATTTTTATTAATTAATTAAAAAAATTGATTTTATTAGAACAATATTCTAATAAGCAATAAAATCACTTATAAATGGATATAAAAATTATTCAGGCAAAATAATATTAATAACTCTCTATTGTATTATCATAATATAAAAATAGTTATACATTTATTATATTATATTTGTATATTTAATTTGTTGTTCATAAATAAATAAACATTTTTGTATGTGTTTTGAATAAAATTTCGGTCATTTATGACGAACAACAGTATAAGTATTTGTCTTTTTTTACGATTCAATTGTCAGATACCGTGGAAACGGATAAATAAGTGATGGTATTAGTTGTCCAAAACAAATAACTTATAAACTAATTTGTCACTTATATATAATCTCTCATTTTATTGTTTGCATGCTTTCAAAAATATATATAAAGAATTTGTATATTTTTTAATAAAAATGAATTTTATTATAATGATTGCTAAAGTTCCTTATAAGAAAAAGTTTATCATTTTATTTATCTTATGTAACATTGCATTAACAGAGTCTAATAAAGGTATTTATATATATATGATTTATAAACTTTATAATTTAGAGTTAAAATAATTTATATAAAAAATAGTTGTTGACTGTATTATTGATTAAATTTATTTTACAGCTAAATGTATTGAAAACTGTGTGAATGGCAACTGCGATACCAATGGTCAATGTATTTGTGATCAATGTTGGGAAGGCATCAAATGTGACCAATTTGGTAATGCTATAAATTTTATCATTTATTATATTATATTATAAAAGTTATAATATATAAAATTAATATTTTCTAATATATTTAAACTTTATTAAAATATAAGCTTATGTATAAAATATCATATAATAATAGTATAATTTTTTTAATAAATAATAATTTTACTAAATATATTTTATTTTTTATCTTATTTAATTTAATTTAAACATTATAATCATAAAAATCAACATATTATTTAAGTAAATATCAGAAATTATTTAAAGCTATTGGTAAAATTATTAGTGTAATAGTTATAATCTCTATAAATCATAGTTTATATGACAATTGTGTCGTCAATAATATTAACAATAACTAATTAATAAAATATAAATAAATTTATTATATAATAATTTGCATTTTGTTTTAATATAAATATTTAATCAATTATTGACGTAAATGCCTAAGCAAACAATAAATAGCCAAAAAACAATTGAAGGTTATTACTAATTAATCATTAAATGATTTATATAATGTATTATTGATTAATTATTTATATTTATATTTTATATATCTAGTATATGCTTTATTAATTAAATTTTGTGTTAATTTATTATTAGTGGACAACTATTCACCAAATTTTGATAGCAATGAAAAAGTCATTTACATTAATAGAGATCACATCGCGAGTAATAAACCTATATTTGTGGCGAAAGCTCACGACAGGGATAGAGAGCTAACTTGTCATCAGATAAATAAAGATTGTATTTGCGGTCAAATTGTTTATGAATTAAAATCAGAAAAAAATGTCAAGTCTTTGTTTAAAATAAATGAAAAATCAGGTGAAGTCTATATAACAAATCCTGATTTAGCTGACAATGATTATAGATATTTAGTTATTATAAGAGCTCAGTCAGCAAACAAAAAATTTAACACAAAATACTCAGATTTGCACTTAACTATTGTCATACAAAACCAATTAAACCGAATCAAACGCGAAACTAATATTAATAAAAACGAGAATAAAGAAGATAAGGCACTGTTGACTACAAACAGTGAACCCATTCCCCGACAAATCACTAATTTTCAAACCACTTTCAATTTACGGATACTTTCGGGTGACACCAATTCATTGACAATTGGAAAAGTAGTTCAATACAAGTTAGACATATCATTGCCCCGAACCAGTGGTCTCGATCTGTTACTTGAGATATATACTAAAGATATTATTAATGATACCTATTATCCGGCTCTTTCATTGTTCAACGTATCGGTCAGTAATAAAGTAGCGGGAATTGGATTTATATCCACTGGAGGACCACCTAAACCTAAAATGTTTTTCAACTCTATTAATAATAATGTGGTAAATATTATTTTAATAAATTAATTGTTTGATAATTTAATTTTATAAATTAAAACCTAAAATTTTGTCTAAAAGTACGATAAAATAACACTTGATTTCGGAACTGTGGCCAACAATGGCGCCGAAGGAAATAAATTGTCAATATTTTTTTCGGCAGCTTTGGTCAGAAAAACCAATTTGATTACCGGAAGCAAACATTTTGTGACAGTCGGTGCTGAGTATAATCAGGGGTCATATGTCTGGGTCGGTGTGTCTCAAGTTATTGCAGAGACTATATCAGCAGTAAGTTTAGCAAAATATTAATGATATAAAAAATATTTATAAACTTATTTTATTTTTTTAATTAAGTCTGAAGACAATCAGTTAGCAGAGGTTGATCTAAAAGGTGCTCAACCTTTGGCTTTGGACAGTGCGCTTACATTGACAGTCGATGCTCTTATGGAGTTCCGATCAGATGAGATCCTACTAGAAATGTGGGGCCCATCCCATCCATACGAACCAAATAATGTGATAGCTATGGGACACATTGCAATCAATGAGTTTGGCTCTAACTACCAGTCAGTTCCTAATAATCCACAACATTATCAATCAAAACGCATTGAAAGTCAATCCCAATTGTCATATCAAAAGACTGTCTTAAATATGGGTCTCATAACAAATATCGGTGAAAAAGTAGGCAAAGCCTCGACTGATGCCAACAATAGAATTGTATATTCAATGACTATATATGCCATTAATGACAACACAAATGTGGGAAAGACAGTACCACTTAATCTTCAGCTAACAATCGGAAACAATACTGTTTGGAAGCATTCAGTAAACATAAAGATTATCGACAGAAAACATGAGAAGTCTATCGCAAGAATGTTGGCTTCAAATGCCAACTATTATCCATTGATGGCATTTCAGGGAAGTCTAACAACACTTAATTTATATACAGAGTTCAGTGAAAGTCAGACTTTTATTGATTTCTCGGTTGTGGTCGAAGTGCCGACCGCTCGAAAACTGGCACTTCTGGAGCCATGTTCTGCTCGTTTGGTCAAAGAAGAGACCGGAATCAATATACCATATGTTAGTTCACAACAATTGGAACCAACAGTTGAGGGAAATCAATATACTTTCAATTTTGGAAGAATTCAACAAATTAAACAACGATTGACATCAAAGAGCGAAGACAACACATTAGTCACAGAAATTGTTCTTAAGATTGCTTTTCATGAAGAAAACATTGAAGGTATTCAAACTGTTATCACTATTATTAGCCAATTTTAATGTGTTATACAATTGATATATTTTAGGAAAGATATTATCAGCCAATGTTAAAGTGATTAGTGGCAGTAAATCAATTAAAGTCAAAACAGAAAATATACAAATAATTACAGACAAAAAATCAATGATTCCCTCTCTTAGTATTAACAAAGCTGTTCCATGGAATTATCTTTTTATTGATGGCGGCGCTATGTCTGTCAATATTAATATGTTATTACCAAATAGTGTTGCTTATGAAGAAGTAAAACTTGAAGTTCACGGCAATAATGAAACGACAATTGCTTTGCCAGAGATCAACATTTGTCGATTGGAAGTGACACGAGTGGGTCCATCAATACCCTGTTCTTGTGTGGCGAAGCCTAAGATTAACAAAAATAAAGTTTTCTATGAAAGACATTCAAATAAAAATACCACAGATTATGACTATTCATCAATAACTTTGGGTGACATCGCTGTCCTTCAAAAACCAAGTTTAGAATTGGACCGAAATTTTAATCTTAATTTTGTGGCCACTATTTTGGATGGAACTGTATTTGAATCGGGAGTTATGTATCCATTTTATGTCGGACTCTCAATTGGTACTGACCTTATTTGGTCTTCAAATGTTACATTTCCGATGAAATCTGATACCACAATGGATATGACAACAGATATAAAACCCAAATTGTTTTCATATCTAAAGAACACTTTACCCGTTAATCCTGGCTTTACTACAGAAGCTATTATAAAATTGGAAACACCTATTCATACCGTTACAAACTATACAATTGAATTGATGGCTTTAGATAAGGAAGTGTCTATCTGTGGCTTATGGATCTCAAATATTGGTAGAAATATGCCGTGTCTTAGTAGTGACTTAAAAGCCAGTTATGAAATGAGACGTATCGGCGAAAATAACAGAGCAATTATTAACTTTAAAAACGTAGCGAATGTTGGACCTAATTATCAGATATCACCTGAAGAGGAAAAACAAGCGAATACTATTGAATTGATGGCAATGGTTAGGATCAAAGGGAGCGCTAATAACAATAAGTTTGTAGATATTATAGTTAAATATGGAGAAAACCAAATGTCAGTTAATAGCAAACTTGAAGTACCGGTCGTTAAGGAATTGTCTAAAATTAACAACGAATTCAAAGCACCGAAAGTATTCACATTTGATATGTTTAACGGTTCGCGAACTGTTGGTATCGGGTCATCGGCTTTGCTTACATTTGACATTGAATTAGAGCCCAATAGTCAGGTACCCATTCGTACACAACTGGCCAAACACAACGATTTCCAAATATGTGACGCCAGTGTCATTGAAATCGGTTCAAACTATCCATGTTTTTCACCATTTGATCTCAAGAAAAGTGGATCGATATTTGATTTGGGAATGATTTGCAACACTTATCTTAATAAAGAAGATAAAACTCAAAATAAAGTCAGATTAGGAATTGCCGTACGTTTTGCAGATGATCTTAAAACAGACCAAACTATCAAACTTATTGGAGATGGTTTTGCTGGCAATACCTCAATAGCAAATAAAAAACAAAACATTGATTTAGTGGTCAAACGAGATATTGAACAGACAATCGGCGATTTTATTGAACCCAGAATTGCACCCAAAAATGCCACTCCTTTTCCCGCAAAAATTAGGGAAAAGGTTTGGATTGCTTTCAATTTAACAATACCTCCAAAATCTATAGTCAAAGTAGCCGTTGAAGTGAAGGGTGCTGTAGAAGAAAACCGGGCTATCATTACATTACATGGACTTAGGATTGCCTCGGGAGGACCTAACATACCATGTCCTATGGCTAATGCAAATCCAACCGTTAAATATGACTCTAGTATAGGCAACAACCAACACGACACCATAACTGCAAACTTGGGATATCTGTCAAACTTTGGTTTTAGTCACGCATTTGGTTCCCATGTGGCCGGTGATGATGATATCACCATTGAAGTGTTGGCACAATTTACTGATCATTTAATGACAGATGAGAATAGTAGTCATACAATTAAGATAACTGCCATTTTAGGTGATGAGTCTAATGCTAAACGAATAAGTGGTGCAAAATATATGCGAGTCGTGCGGACGCATACTGAACGACCAATTATTGAAACAGAGATCTTAATTAACAACATTACAACTTATGATAGAAATCATATGATTGATGCCATGGCTGTTATCAGACATTCAGATAAGTCGACCGGAGAACCGGCTAATCCAGCTCTTCGACTATTTTTGCCGCCATTTATCAAATTTGGACAAATTGTTTCTCATAATACCAGAGATGACCCTATAGTCAAAAATCAGTCAAACGGAGCCACAGTTGATATAGTGGTTGGTTTTTACAACTATAATAACGAAATTACATTTCATATAATATAAAATTAATATTACTTTTAGATGCCATGGATTTTATTTCCTGATATTTTTACTATAAATTTTACATTTATTGTCGATCCTGAAAACCAAAGAGGATATGGAAAAAATGAAACTTTTGTGTCGGTTCCCTATCGGGTAATCTGTGAACACTTTCGGGTTTCGGTTTCATCGAAATTCCCGTGTAGTCGAGTCAACGACTTTACGTTTAGAGCCAAAAGTTCCGGTAAACATATAAACAAAATTATTATTTTCTTAAATTATCTATAAATTAAATGTATAATGTTTTTTGAGATAAATTTTATGTTATATTAAGCGTAAAAATATTTCAGTTTTTTTTGCTTTTTTAAATTAAATACTATAGCATTTTGTTCAAAGAAATCTAAAATATTTGTTATAAATTTAAAAGTTATAAAAGTTAAGTGACAATAATTTATTTGTTTATTGTCACCTTTCCGGTCATTAAATCTTATATTTTTGATAGAAATATAATTTTATTAAATTGTTATTACTTCGTACTGATGTTAAATTTTAAAGTATTTTTATCCACAGTTTTACTGGTATTTCAACAAAAAATACTGTATTTAATTCAAAAAACTAATATAAATATATATTAAATTTTTATTATTTTTTTCGTTATATAGAGTGTGATAAGGCATTAGGTATGGCCAGTGGTCTCATAAAAGACTGCCAACTGAGCGCATCGTCGGCTGTCAGTGCCAACTATGCGCCACATTTTGGTCGACAAAACTCTGGCAACTTTTGGGCACCGGCTCTGCGATATTGGTCACAAAAACAATATCTTCAAATGGATTTCCTCAAAAATACTCGGGTCACTAAAATAGCCGTTCAGTCGGTTAGAAATAACCGTAAAGTAATGTCATATTCACTGATGGCCAGCGATAATAACAAAGTTTGGTTTAATGTCAACAACATATCATATCTGAGTTACGCCGATGGAGTGGCTTATGATGTCATACAAAAGCCACAAGAGGCCCGTTATTTTAGATTTGTCATCGAAGAAGCATCAGATCCAGACCGTGAAAATGATCAGTTGGTTGCCGTCAAACTCGAATTCTTTGGCTGTTATTTGGATGACAACGATCTGTCAAGTAATTAATCAAATAATTACATTTAATTTAGTTATTAAATTTATAATGTTTTCTATTAAGACAATACCTGTTCATCTGAAGCCACTAATACCTGGTTTTCTGACAATAACAATGGTTTGAGTCGACATTTTTCAGCTGATCCTTACACTAATGTTTTGTATTTTTGTGACTCCACTTCTGATATGAAGTAAATGTTTAATATAAATGCAAAACAAATGTTACAATTAATGTTGAAATTGGTATTACTTTTAGTCAACAGATTTGTTATTATAGTAACTCTGGAGGTAATACATGGCATATAATTGGTCGGTCTATTGACACCATTGTTGGCTACGAACTGACAACCGGTAAGACCTTTGGCACTGACTCCAGAAGAGGCGCTTATCTCAGCACTAAAGACGGCATCAAATGGACTCCTGAATCATACGAGACGTTCAATCAAACAGTCTTTGACCACAAATTTCAACACAAAACGGTAGTTCCAGGTCTTCATAGGGAAGGTATTAGACGTATGAATCTAAAGACTGGTAATTGGAAAGGTTTGCATTTAATTTGTTATAAATGTTATATATTTTTATAAACATTTATATTAATACTGTAATTAATTTTTATAGCACTTCAAGACGGACTGTACTTCGATGACAGTAATGTCCCAAAAGCTTATTGGAATCGATGTTGTAATGTATAGACTATTTTGTGGCAATTTATTTATATTACTCAAAAAATATTATTTTTCCTAAAATATTTAAGTTTATTACATTATATTATAAAATATAACTAAAATACTTATTTATTTACTTATAGTCATCAAAATTTAATAATATTTAGACTGTTATAGGTTTAGTTAAATCAATAATTTTAAACTAACAGTTTTTAATCATTTTTATCTATAATATTATTATTATTCATTATTCATTAAATTGTAATTAATATTTTGTTAAAGCAAATAAAAATTTATTTTGAAAGCATTAACTGGTTATTAATTATTTGTGGATAATATAGTTACAGTCATTATTTCGAAAAAATTTCTCTTAAATTAATTTTAAAAATACTATCACTGATTAAAAATTTGAATTTCAAATACTTATTTATTAGATGTGAAACAAAAAACACATTTTTTGTGTCGACAAAATATTAAATAATTGCAAAAAATCTAGCCATTAATAAAACATAACTTTTAATACAATAAAATATAATATATAAAACTTATTTAAAACTTAATTTTTACATACAGCTTTATTTAAAAGTAAAGTTATAATTAAACATAAACTATTAATTTTGTTTTATTTTGACAAAAACTAAGTAATTAAATGTTATCATACATTAAAAACATTGATAACATTAAATGAATATTTAAAATCGCATAAAATGATTGTTTATAGATATATTCATATATAATAAATACTAAAACTTAAATTGAAAGTATTGTAAATCAAAATGATATTTCTTTAAATTTTATAATAAATAACAAAAACTAATAATAATTAATAGCTGTTAGTTATTATAAAATATTTATTTAAAAAATAACTATTAAGTATTATTAACATTTGTTTTATATATTTCCATTGATTTGTGATTATTTATTGACTTATTTTTATCTTCTAATTGAATAATTGAAAAAAATAATTCAATAAAGAAATAATTTTAGTATAATTTAAATCAAATTAATTTTCAAAAATACCGGAAAAACGTCGTCTAATGTCTGTAATGATAGTCATCGGTGCAAAACACCTGAAAAAAGTCATCAAACATATGATTATCATTAATGCAAACGAAAAGAACAATAATGTAACCAAAGAAAAGACCAAAATATGCCAAAAAGCCATCACAAGAGTCAATCACTTCGGTTGAGATTCAGTGACAATTCAGTGACAATTCAGTGACAATCAAATCTATTTAAATAAATCGCGTTTAATAACAATAATATTAATAAAAATCTCAATTATAAATAAAATAAATTTAACTTTTATTTGTTTTATATTTTGATTACTCTTTATTAACAATTAATAAATTAAAAATGTAATTTTACAATGATTTTTTTAATGATTTTAAAATCATTTACAAAGTATTTCAATAGAAATTACATAATTTAAGTATATAACATATATAGTGTTATATAATTTCAAATATATTAATTTATAAATATTTTATATATAAATCTATAAAATCGATATATAAATTAGATAATTAACAATATTGTTGTTTTAAACATGTGATACAGGAACTGTTAAAAAATTTCCACTATTGTTACTATTATTATTAATACTATTATTATTATTATTATTATTATTAACGCAATTTTTAGTTGTTGGCGATGAGCACAAGGATGTTATAGTAATATTAGACGGGGAACGACATGAATTATTGGGTAATTCCAATAGATTAGTACATGAAGTCGAATATTTAGGTTTGGGTCCATCCCTATCAAGATTTTGTGACCTTCTTAGAGATCCCGATGAGTGAATACTGGCGCTACCTCTGCGTGCGGAACCATTGCTACTGTAGGCCGAACCCGATCTGTACAATACAAATGAGTTGGCATTTCCCGTAAGGACTGCAGAATAGGTCAACTCAGGTATTTGCGACCGTTTTAGACAAGGAATACATTTGCCAAACGTATCTCTGAAAGCAATCCGATATTTTCGAGACATAAGTTGATAGAGTATTGGATTTATAGTTGAGCTCAGATAGTAAGTGACGCCAGATATATGGGTTAGTATTGTGTAGACACTGATTATAACTGGTGTCCGCACATTGTTTCGGACAATATTGACGGCCAGCACTCGTTGCGCGTGAAATGGAGAATAACAGAAAAAGAAGGAAATGACGACCGCAACTGTGGAAAGACATCAATTGCACTGTTAGCTAAAAATTTCTGATTTAATGTTTTCAAATAATATATACAGTATATCTATGTTTTCACTTACATTAAATATTAATAAATAACAAAAATAATATTGTAAATCAATGTCATTTTGTTATTGAATTACAATAATAAATAATAAAATATTAAATATATAGGTTTTGGTTTATTTTAATTAATATCAGTTTATACTAGACATAAGCTTTTTCCGGATATGACACAAAATAATAATAATAATATGAGATAATAAACATAATTGTTATTAACTTTCAAAATAATACAGAATATTCTGTGTTATTATTCATTTGGTTTATTTATAACCATAACAATCATAGCGTTGCGAATAACACATTATGTTTGGTAAGTCAAGTAAAACTAACTTTTTCTTAACGTATCAAAAGTTGCCAATAGGTTTGCACTGTTATCCCATGGGATCAGATCTATAGGCCTTTATTTATCCCTCGTTTTTATACATTGCTATCGATACGATTGCATTATTATTACTATTATTGGATAACAAATACATAAGCAAAATACTATTGAATTGTCTATTATTTTGTTAGGAAATTTAGAAAAAATACAATAAAAATATATCATAAGCACAAATTGACATAATTTTTTCCCGAAAGTCATTACTTAATTACAACAATTTTGTTGATTTGTTTACAAATCAAAACTTTTTCCTTAAATGTCATTAATTTTGCTTTAATTAAACGATTTATTTAAAAGCCTTTGTAAACTTGTTATTTTAAATCAAATGTTTTATTATTATTTTGTTTTGCTAGTTATGTTGTTTTAAGTGATTGTTTTATTTATTGGTGATCTAAATAAAAGATTTAAGCACACAATTTAAAGACAACAAAATAATTTGAAGGACTTGTTTGTCACCTAAATTTTTCCATACTTAATGTTAGTTCAATTGAATGAACTTAACATTAAAAAAAAATATTTATATATTTTTTAAAAATGTATTGTATATATATATTTATTATAAATATAATATTGTGTGACTATTTGACTGCACGTAAATTTGAAAATACAAAACTTTAATAAATATAAAGCGCTTATCTATTTACTGTATTGTTATATACTTTAAAATCTCATTCAATAAAATGGCATAAAATAAAAAAATATTTTAAAAGAATATTACGATTTTAAAAATGTATACATAGTTTGTCTTAGATTTTATATAAAATCTTTTAAATCATTTAATTGTTTAAAAACAATGTTTACAAATCGATTATAAGTAAATAGTCGACAATCATTGTTATTTTATAATATACAGTAAGCTCAAAAATTTCAAATTTAATTACTATTCAAATTTATTTATTTAAAACATAATTGCATAAAAAATTATTTTAATATTAAAATCAAAATTATACTGTACTTTATTATTAATATATATATATATATACAGTACTCATGTATATTAGTACCAATACTTAGTTATTATTAATTATGTTGTATATGGTTTAAAATTTGTTGTCATTTAATTTTTTTGTTTTACCAAATGATAAACATTATACTAATTATTTTTAATCACCAAAAGTGTTATGTTATTTAAACAAAAGTTATTTTTTAAATAGATAACTACAGTATATTAATGAGTTGTGACATAATATACTGTATTTAGTTTAGTTATGTGTAACTCTATTATCATATTAAGTGTCTCTAATATCTAGAGATGGGCAAATAGGAATTTTCTAATAAATTTCCCTAAGAAAATTTCTAGAAATTTTCTCATGAATAAATGTCTATATAAATTTTACTTTATCATTATATTACGGGAAGCCCATATCTATAGCTATATTAATACTGTACTAATGATACATAATATACACTACATTACTATATTAATGGGATTATTATTTATAAAATTAATATACTGTAATTATCTAATTATAATTTTTAAATTTTTTATAATTGATTTACATTTTTAGTTTAATGTAATTAAAATAAATTATTTTTACTTTGAATATTAATTAAAATACTAATAATAAAATTTAGTTAATATTTATAGTTATAATGAATTGTTTCAAAATAACAAATATAGAGAAAACAAAATTAATATGGGATCCCATAGACAGAAATTTCTTTAAGAAATTTTCCACAAATTTCTCTATTATTTTAGAAATTATTTTTTTTTGTTAAAATTCTACTAATATCACAGTGTTGATGACATTTAGGTTTTTTGTCGTTTTTTAATTTAGATATTTTCTATTAAAACAAACCAAATGTATTGGATTTAACATTAAATTTAATTTTCCGGTGTATATAAACAATAATAATATAGTTTTATTCAAATTATAAACTATTACATTAGCATAATTCTAAATACTATATTTTCACTTTATATAAATAACAATTTTAACTATATATATATATATATATATTATAACTAACTATTACTTAATAAAAATATGAAAATAAGGATATGTTATTAAAATAATTGTGTTATTATCTAATTATATAATATACATGATTAATGTGTGTTTATGTATTAGTGTCACTGTTATTACTCATTTTTAATATTTGAATAGATATTTTAGTGTAAATAATAAGATTATTATATTTACACCAATTTTCAGCACTTTTTCTAAATATATACACATAAATAAATATAAAGTTATAATCTTTGATCAAACATTGTTTTTATAATAAATAGTTGAAATTTGGCCTAAAGTTATTGACAAATAAGTGAAATGTCAACAAAAATATATACAAAATGTTTTCAACAGAAAGTCATAGTTATCTAAAAATATTTTGAAACACTAAGTGAAACGCTTTCAGTATTGCAAATTGCAATACATATAAAATATAGTAATATATCATACATTATATGTACAGTAGTTTTAATTAAAATACGATATTAATTAAATAATAGAAGTTTTAAAATAATATTTTTAATGTGATTTTTAAATAATAATTAATGAACAATATATTAAAATAGACTATTATTTAAAAATTTCACAGTAATGTGCAGCTAATGATATTTTTGTAAAATTAGTTAATTTATAATTGTTTGCTATTTTTAAATAAAATAATTTTTCTTTATATCATCAATTTATTTAAGTATCAATTAATAATATAAGATAAGCTGATTATTGCTAACAAATATGGCTAATATAATGTGATGACCACATGTTGTTAATTTAATTTGTTTTGTAATATCAATAATTCAATGTCAGTGTCACACATGTCACACATAATTACTGATATAAAAACAATAATATTATTATAGAAAATTGTTTATATCATAATGTCTTATAATTTATATAAGTTATAAATTATATAATAACTAGTACTAAATTAGTTACACTACAAAAATTATATAAAGGAAATTACAAAAAGTATGAAAATTTTACTTTTAAAAAATTATAAAAATTGTGGACAATTTGTTAATGTAATTTTCATATTAAATATTAGCTAAATCATTTATATTGATAAATAAATAATGCTTTTATATTTATATTTTTAGTATTAATTTATATTAAGTAAAGGCCATGTCAATTTTCTACTGTATTTAAATAAGCACATTATTTTTGAAAAATAAATATCAAATCATATTATATTTGTAATTTGTAAGACAAAAATGCAAAATTTTTATTATAAAAAAAGCTTTAAATAATAAAATATATAGTATATAAATACGTTTATTTTACTTAGTATAACAGCAGTAAAATTTTATAAGAAAACTGATATACAGTAACTATTGTATAGTAGATACAAAACTTATTTTATTATATATTTTTGTAACTCCTATTAAAAAGTTGATCATAAAATTGATTTCAATTCAATAATACACTATATATTTGTACTCTTTTCATGTTTTCGTACAACAATTGAATGACTTTTTGCGTTTTCAATGGAAAACCATAACTTAAACACAAAGTCATCACTCAAATAGATCTAAATGTGTACCAAAAAGTTATATATATTTCAAAATTTTATAAACACTGTATTTTGACATTTTATGTTATAAAAATTTAATAACAGTCTTTATATCACAATAAAGGGCGCCATAACAGTGATATAATGTATCGTTAAATATATGAAATTTATCCTATATTTAATAAAGTATATACTATTTATATTTAGGCTTTTAAGTCACTTGTCATGAAAAAGCATTATTTACATATCATATGATAATAAATAATACAATACGATTGCAATATGTAATTATTTAAAACATTTTAAAATATTATTAAATTTATTTTGCTTATTATGCACTTTAGAATATATTTATAAGTTTTTAGATTTTATGCCACCATTTCATTGATTTTTATATTTTCTTCAATGATATTTGTCCATTAAATTGGATAATTTCTTATATCCAATAATGCATTCAATTGATATTTTTAGCACATAATAGTATAGACTCTATAGAGTATAATAGTTATCAAATATTGATACACTTAATTTGAAACAATTAGCAAACATTATAAATGTCCAAAAGTTCAAAGGTAAATTCACACATTAGATATCTAACCAATTGCTAATTGATCAATTACTACATTTAAGCATTTACTCAATTATTTACATAACCTAAATATATAACAACTATTTTTGACACCTAAATATATACTAAATAATAATGTTGTATTACTTATAAAATAAGTTAACATTAAAACGCTTTTAGATCTAATAAACATTTCTATTATTATTATTTTCAATAAATGTTAGACTATTTTATTATATGTTTTCACATTTACATTATGACCTAATATAATATAATTAACAATAATTTTGTTCTTTATAAATAATTTAATTGATTCAACAATTATTTAAAATTCAAAAAATTATTATATATTTTATAAAATAAGTGTTTTAGAGTAAAATATTTTTACCTCTAAATTGTTACTGTAATTTATATTTATTGTATTTTATACTATAAAAAATATTTGTATATCTTCTAACAATATAATGTATTTAACATATATAATGTTTTTATGTCTCTTAAAAATATCTATTTA